AAGAAGTGATAGTTTAACACCAGTATAAGTGGATCCCAGAGCGAGCATTTCCAAGGCTTTCAGATATCATTTTGTACTGTTCTGGTTAGAATAGCACGAAAGGTTGGCCACACAGGTGGCTTTTCTTTCTTTCTTTTAGATAAAGTCAATGGGGAGTAGGTTTGAGTCAAGCCAAATGAGCTTCCTTTGATCCAGGTTTATCAGTGAGGGAGTGTGTGCTGCCTTACCAGATTGTAGGCATAGTCCAAAGGCTGCTTTTCCTGCAGATAAATACTGTGTGTGTATATATATATTTATATATAAGCTTTATGCAAAAAGAAGAATCTGCATTGCAGCTAGCTAGCAATGACAGAACTTCCCCAATTTAACAGGATTTGGTGACCTGGATACCCTGGTTCATTTCCTCAGTGTTAGATATCTTGCAATACTGCATTGCTACTTTCACTTATATTTGTTTGTTTGACTTGATATTTTAGGGTTGTGTAAAACAGAAGCATGACTGTTCTGTTGGCTGGGTGCCTGAATTAGTGAGGAAATTGAGTGAAGTTACTGGAAGATAGAAGATCGCAAGGGAGTGAAGGGTAAAACTGTGTTGTAAGCGGAGTGTATGTAAAAGCTTTATAAACGTCCAACTGCACAGGAAGGGGTTAGAATTAATCCTTATTTTCAAGCATGGATATATGGTTCCATTTTGCCCACACCATCAGTGCTGTAGCAGCACGTACAGCACAGTTTGTGTTCTGCCTGTGCTCTGTCCTGTCTTCTGACCGGTCATAAGGCCCAGCTGCTGGCTCATCTGACTTCCTTCAGTGCGGTTCTCATCTAAAGTCTTCAGATTCTTCTCCCTACTCATCTGAGAAGCAGTGGCATCTCATTCCTGAAGTTTTTGATTTGCTCCACCACGTGCCTTCCTTAAAATACTATGCAGTGTCAACAAGTATGTATAGTAAGGAGAAACTTTGGGAATGGATCCCCGGACACTGCCCTGTCCTGGTTACTCTGAAGCAAACTCAAGCTTGTTAGTAGCTCTTGTAGTGAAGAAGCAGAAAAGTGCAGATCTGAGGTTACCATAAGCCAGCTGGTCTGATCCTGGGGCTGCCACCAGTCGTGGTCTCTCTCTCTCCCCTGCACATGCAGCCATGCAGTCTGATCATCTCCCTGGTATTGATGTGTTAGAGCTTACACAGCAGCACCATGAATCAGATCGTGCCTCAGAAGGGCTGAGTCTATTTGTGGCTTTGGTTTTTTCACAGGATTTGCTCACAGTAATGAGATCCAACTGGCTGTGTGGTTGTACCATCAGCAGCGCTGGCACGGCGGAGGGGATGATAACGCATGGCCAATGAGGAATGCTTCCCTTCTGTCACACGGCTGGGTTAGATTGGCTGACTGCAAAGCCACAGTGTGCGTTGAAGCAGAAATAAATAAGGCCTGACATCAGTTTGGTTTGTCTAGGCTACTGATTGGCCTGCTGCAGAGTCGCAGCTAGAGGGGAAGCAGCCGTAGTGTGTTGATATTGGGAAGTCTCAGTTCCCTGCAGGGGTTAGAGCCTCTCACTTGTGTCTGTTTGCCAGTAATCACACATAGATGACTGCGTTCTGGTGGTGTTCTGCAGTTTCCAGCATTTATTTTATGTTGGAAATTGATGCTAGAAGTTGGGGACTGTATTTCATCACAGGACTAGAAAAAATAACGAGGGTGAGAGTACTCTTTGTTGTGCCTGGATAGAGGGCTATTGCATTGACAACGCAGATGGAGCAGCCTCATCTCAGTTCAGTAAGTGGCACCTTCTTTTGCCCTGACTTAACAGGATCACAAGAGGTATATCTTAAAATGCATAGGAAAACAGTTGGGAAGAGTTGGGGTTTGGCAGGATTAGCAGGTAGATGGTAAAGTCGTGAGATGACATTTCTGAGGTTTGCTTGAAATTACTGTGATGAAAGCGGTGGTGTTGCATCACAACAGGAAGAGGTAAAATCACCCCTGTGGCAGGAAATCCGCCGAGTGTGCAATGAAGCTCTGAGGATTCCAGTGTTTCCAATGCTTGAAAAGGAAAATATTCCCAGGCAGTGAGCGGAGAGACCACCAAGTCTCAGAACTGTGTCCGAGAGAGATTCTTATGGTGTTTTTTGGTCTCCCTGCACAAGAAAATGGTCAGTGTAATAACACCAGTAGCTCATCTTCATTCATTTTCTTTTAAGTCGTTTTATCAGTATATTTCCTTTAAGTAAGTAGGGTTTCAATTACAGCTCTTGGGTTTTCCTTTCAAGTTCCAGAGGTGGAACATCAATCCATGAAAACAGGATCAACACGCATGTATGGATTTGGCCAATAGATTGAATGACAAGCACCAAAAAGCAAAGTTAATGTTTGGATAACAGTGTGCTTTAAATGCACTTAGAAATGCAAATAATGGTTCTGGTAGTGTTGGTTCTAAATGTCATAACTGAGCTGTCAGAGGAAGTCACAAAGTCTCTCCAGATTTCTGCTTAGTGACATTATCTAAGGATGCCCATAACAAACACAGTCAATTTCCAGGGAGCAGCAGTTATAAAGGAGTTGGTCGAGTGGGCTGCTTTCCATATCTGTCAGATTACATCAACTGCTTCATTGCTTTGTTTGAAGCTGCTGGTGGGAACAGCCTTCTTGTTATTGCTGGGAGACCGCGAAGTTTGTGTATGTAAAGAAACACATCCCTGCTGATGGGGATCCCAGGTTGTGAACGTTGCTCTTGAACAGCCGTCCTTTGTCCTCCTCGGGTGGTTGATTCCACCTTTTTTCTGGCTGTCAGTCCCAGTTGTTGGTTGGCCGCTGTAATTATTTATATTAAAATATATTTTCTCTGCAGGCTAATAAATCTTGCATTCTTCTAATATAAAAGGAAAACCATGAGAGTACTTCTAAGTTAAAACACATGCTTCGTAGTGTTAGGGAAAAGAAGAATGTTCTTGCTCTCCAGCAGAAGCCATCTCAGCTGGGCTCACATTGGACAGCAGCCCCCAGCCCCACTGCATCCATCACTGCTGCCACACACCTGCAGCTGGGCTCAGCACAGGGCCCACCATCCCCAGCTGCTGCTATGGCACAGTCGTCTTCCTCGTCTCTCACTAAGAGCTTCGTTCCAAAGAATGCTTTCCCTTTGCCAAAATTCCTCATGATCTTGCCTTCAAGGAAACACATCCATTTTTAGCAGGCTAGGAGAGCACATTTCTATTAATGGTTGCTTTAACCCATGAAAGGTGAACACAAATGAATCACTTCTAGTTCAAGTTACAGTTATCTGTATTTCACTCATATATTTAGTCCTAGTAGAATTCAGCATTTGTGCTTTTGAGGGAGAAAAATTAGCATGCTTGCTGTCTGCATTTCGTGCTCTGTCAGGTAACGAGGGTTTGTACACATTAAACACAGATGCTTTTGATTTACCTCACTTCCACTTTCTGCTTTGGATAAGCAGTGAGGGCTGCTGTAGTGCAGGTGTACAGCACTACTGGGCTGCTGGGATTCTTTACCACTTCTCTCCTGCTTTTGTTAGAGCTGTTCCTTTCACTCAGGTATTTTTAGGAAGAAAGTGAGAAAGAGAACAGAATGGAGTGACTTCATGCAGTGACTGCTCTTCCCTACCTCGAGTCTGGTCCCATTGCTTGCTGCTTTCTGCAGTGATAGCCATTGACCAAAAGACAAACGTCCCCATTTCTCAGGAGGCTGGCCTGGAGAGCTGTGCTCTTATTGGAGGTTTGGGGTTGGGAGCAAACCTCTTTTCTCCACATTTGAGCTCATGAAAACGTGGTTTCTCAGTGTGAGATGGTGTTGTCGTGAGTGTGGTGCGAGTAAAAATGCTGCAGTTATCAGCCAAACATGTAATAGGTCAGACCCAATTTGAGTGAATGTGACTGCATTGCCACCTCAAAACTCAGCTCTGATTTCATCTGCGCTGTAAATTGAGGGGAGGCTGGCAGGGATCAGTCATTGCTGCTGATGGCTTTGATGTCTTACTTTGCAGTATTTCTCTAGAAATACTGAATCATGATCAGCATCCAGCACTTGCGTGCTGTGGGAGTCCAGACAACAGACCAGCATGTAAACACTCGGTCTCAAACATTCTTTGGTATGAAAAGTGAAAGAAAAAGCAACAGAGGTTTATTGTGTGTGTGGTTAAACCTTTTCCAAATCAGTCCAGTGCTTTTCTTTGTGCCTCCTCTGCCAGAAAACTACCACATTTGGTGGTAATTTTGATTAAAGTTTGTCTCCTGCCCAGCAGGAAATGTTGGATCACGAAGAAATAGCAAGACTTGTGCTCTCAGTGGGCATTTCTCTGCAGCCTGGAAAGGCTGGGGATTGAAATCCTTGCATTGCATGGTTGGATGGCAGGGTTCAGGTGGGATCTGTGCAAAGCAGGGAATGCCTTCTCCGTGGCACAGACAGTGTGTAGGTGCATGGAAATGTGCACTATGCACACTGCTCTGTGTATTTTAGACTAGAGAAGCTGAGATTTCCATGCAACGGAGCATCTAACAGGAGGCTGGGAGGAACGTATTTGTGGTCTTTGGTTGAAACCTCATTTTGTTTCAGTTTGTTTTTAAAAAAAAGAAAAATTTTTTTTCATTACAGCAGCACTCACTCTATACCAGTGATTGAAAAAAAAAAAATATCTGTAAATCCATAATGTAAGGATGATCCTGGAAGATCTGAAGCTGGGCTCTCGGCGTTCTAAACTTGCTCCCTTAAGCTTCAGGCAGTTCGGGATGTGAAAGCATGGCTATGAAAGGAATGTTGCATCTGCCTCTCTCTCATTGTCCCTATCAGATTTGGAAATATGTTGATTTATTTCCCTTGTGAAATGAGAATCACTTCATAATCTTGAAAATTTTGCAGGCAGGATGGCAGAATGGAATCCTGTCCAGTGCTTGCTACGATGTAATAGAGAATATGCAGATAATACTTGCCCTCAGGAAGTTGAAGACAGCTTCTCAGACAGGGTCTTTTTTCTTCCCCTTCAGATTTGTCACGGAACAGACTGTTGGAGCTTCCAGCAGAAGCATGTCACTTCGTCTCCCTCGAGAGCCTTAATTTGTACCAGAACTGCATTCGATACATCCCAGAGGCTGTTTTGAACTTACAGTCTTTAACGTTTCTAAATATCAGGTAATGATTGCCTTAAAAGTTTTGCTTCAGCGTCAGTAGTCTAGGTTTTTAAATTTGGGTTCTTCCATGAATAATAGATACAGTGTGTCATCATCTCATTCTTATATTGTATGTATTTGAAACAAAGCAGTGTGAACCAGTCTCACCCACTCAGATGGGTTAGGGAACACAGCATTAAGCAGCAACTTGTAGAAGTGAAGTATGAGTAAGAAAGCTAATTCCAATGTAAGGTACTCACAGAAAGTTCCAGTAGTTTTCAGTTAGTATGCCTGTGTTTCCCATGAAAGAGGATATTGTTGGACGGTCTGTGAAATTCAGATCTGGGCACCTGAGTGCTGATGGAATATAATAGCTCTTTGCCGTGTTTTGTTTTGAAAGAGAATCGTTTTCCCTTTATAATCCATTCTTATCCTGCGTGATTCTCATCTGAGGTCACAGTCTTGTCATATGACCTCCTGTTTGCTTTAATAGTAGTCTGTTGTGAAAGGTACAGATTGGATTTTGGAGCAGCCAAATTCATCGTACCGAGATCCTCGATCCACATGACTTACTGAATATTTCAAGTGTATTTCTAATTGAGTATCTAGTGGCATTTTGTATGCGCTCACCTGCAGCACTGCCTCTTTGCTGGCTTTTGGGTGGTGAGTTTTCAGCAGCGCCCAAAAGGTCCCAGAAATGTCATGTTCCCCAACACCGAGTTCAAAAGCATCAAGACATGCTTGGTACTGGATATTCAGAGCATGCTCAGACACAGCTAGATAAAGCAGTGCTGCTTCAAGGAACTGTGAAGGCTTTGTGGAATTAGTTTTACAGTGATTATACAGAAACTGAGTTGATAAACAAAACAGCATCTGCTTTTTGTGTGTCAAGATGAGAGGTGACTTCTCATGGCCCTTCTGATGATCTGATTTTCTTTCTGTCCGAAAAGTCGAAACCAGCTTTCAACGTTGCCAGTACACCTCTGTAGTCTACCACTAAAGGTTCTGATAGCGAGTAACAATAAGCTGGTTTCAATACCTGAAGAAATTGGACAGCTCAGACAGCTGACAGAGCTCGTGAGTATACAGTTATTTTTTAACTATCACCGCTTAATCTTTAATTTAAGGGATTTAATTAAGTTAATTAAATCAATTTAATTTGATGTGTGTAAGAGGTCCAGATGTGCTTCAGATAATCTGATAAAAACTGCTCAGTAATTAAGATGCTCTCTGAGGATGTGCATGATGAATATTCTGTCTCTCATTCCGCTGAGAGCTTTGTGATGGTAAACCAATCACTTGTGTGCAGTAGCAACTTAAATCTGCTTTTGGCCTAAAAAGGGTTTGTATGTGCTATAGTATCTCCCTCTGTGTCAGCGTGGAGGGCACTAACTCTTTGCTCGTGCTATGTAGGATGTGAGCTGTAACGAAATACAGACCATACCGCCGCAGATCGGCAACTTGGAATCCTTACGGGACCTAAATGTCAGAAGGAATCATTTGGTGCGTTTACCTGAAGGTGAGATTAAGACTGTCGGTTGTAGCAGCTGAAACTTGAAGCACTTCTGTATTTTTAATGCCTTTTTATTCCTGTGAGTACCAGTAGCAGTTACATTTAATTATTCGTAAAATAGATACGTGGGATTTTATATACTTTTAAATCTAAATTAAATACTTATTTTCTTCTTCCAGAGCTCGCTGAGTTGCCTTTGATTCGATTAGATTTCTCCTGCAATAAAATAACAACAATCCCAGTTTGTTATAGGAACCTCAGACATCTGCAAACCATCATGTTAGAGAACAACCCTCTCCAGTCACCCCCTGCACAGGTAAACTGCGGTTGGGAATTCACATGACTAGTTTAATTAAAAAGGGTGGAACAAAAAGCTGAGGGGTTGTATTAAAACCTTTACTTAAGAACAAGAAAACATTAATAACTTGTATTTTCTGAAAGTGTTAAGTACTCAGCACGGCTTGAAAAATCCGTTTTTCTTTTATTTATTGCGTTAGTCTCACCTGTGGCATTATATGAAAAATTCCCCTGTTTGCAGTGTGCTAATATTAGCAGGAGATTTCAGATGTCTGTAGTTTTAGGAAGGGCATAGGAGAGAGGAAGCTCTGTTAGGCAAAGCTGGTTTTGTGCCGCTCAAATGTCAAAGTTTTGGCTGAGGTCTCAGCAGTGCCGTGTGCTGATTCACTTAGCAGAAGTGCTCCAATTGGCCTTTGAACTAGAGACTGCAATATGGTTAGTGACTAATTCCTTTTTTAACGTATAAGCCGTTGAGAATTACAGGTTCTACTGTAAGCTGCAGCTTCTGAATCGAGAGTGGCACTTGCTGAAACCTGTCATCTCCATAAGGTTTTGCCTCAGGTTTTTGCCTGCCTTTAGAAAGCAAAGAAGCTGTGGCTGGCTTCATTCACATCACATTTGAGCTTGCTTTGGCAGTCTGCCACTGCCATTCAAAGCTGGGCATGGGTGGGACGCATCTGTTCTTATGCCAAGGTTATAAATTCTAGCAGTTGTACATGCTTCTCTCTTATTTACATGTTGAGATTTTAGCATCCAGCTGACAAAGTTGCATGCAGACCAGATGTACTTGGAAGAGAGCTTCCATTTGTCTCACGGTTATCTGATGACACTTTCAGTAAAATGCAGCAAGGTTAGAAGAAAAGATGCACTGGATGGCATGAATGTGCTCATTTGTTACTCTTTGACTGCAGATTAAAGCTCTGTGTTGGTTATTTTGAAAATGCGTTATAAAATTATACTTAGTTCTCTTTTCTTATTTTGTAGATATGTATAAAAGGGAAAATTCACATATTTAAATATCTCAACATAGAAGCATGCAAGATAGCTCCAGATTTGCCTGATTATGATAGGAGACCCATGGGATTTGGATCTTGGTAAGTTTTGCACCATCCAGGTTCTAAGTTTTGATGCCATTCAGAGAAGCTTTGTCAGCCATCTGAATTAAAAAGAAAAGAAAAAAAAAAAAGAGAGAAAGTAGATCCAAGAATGATTGTTCTTTGGCATGCTCGTTGCTGGGTGTGGTTTGAAGAGCATCAGCTGTGTTATATCATGGTAGATTCTAGGAAGGTACTGTTTTATAAGAAGCAAAGAGTAGTTCAGAAGACAACGTTGGAAACAATATCTGAAAGGCAGTGTTAGAGTAATGTAGAGTAAAAAGAACGTGTTGGCACCTTTGTAGTGCAGGGGGCATGCTGCCATGTTACTGACAGGTGTTCACTTTATAAAACCTCAATATTTTCTACATGCTCACTGAAGTATACCCCAATGTGATCTGTAACCCTTTGTATAGAACTTCATAACCGCTGTGCTCAAGCTGCAGGTGTAAATGTTGATCTCCACCCCATTAGCAAACTGTTATTCTTGGCAAGCTTTCACTTGGCAGTATTGCTGAGTATTGTAACACAAATATTGGAACAGTCAGCTGTATCAGCTGCTGAGTTTGAAGACGTCTGGAGAAAAGCAAGAGTTAAGATTTATTTCTGTTACATGAAGCAGAAGAAAGGGAGTCAGTGAAGTATGAGACTAAATATATGTAAGAATTACCTCAGTCACCTTGGAAGATAGTAATAATGTGTGGAGAAGTAAGTTGCTAAAGGATGTACTGCTCTCTTAGCAGCAATAAAACAAACCAGAGGGCCTCACAATAAATCGTTATGAGTCAGATTTCTGAAGCAGGGTTTGCATGAGGGACTGACAGTGATTTCAGCAGCACTGAGCACCCTAACTTATTCTTCTGTGTGAGGTCAACGTGAGTATTTTATGAGTCTTACTCGCTTTCCTGAAATATAAACTGTTGCAGATAGTACTGTGCACAGTACTGTCCCATTCCTGACACGAAGAGGCTCTAAAAGATAAACTGTTGTGATCACTCTGTGACATATTTTATTTTTTAAAGAGAAATTCCAAAATAAATGAGCCTGTATGCTCAGTGCTTGCTGTTTGTAACGATGGATTACTATTAAAGTTTTCATTAATTGCTTTTCTGACACAAGGATTAATGCATTGTAATCAGAGCTTGGAATTCTGACTGTAAAAAAAGATGAAAATATGTATCAAAGGGCTTTTCCATGTTTGAGATGTAACCAAGTAGCCATTTTGATGCTCTTCAGTTCTGTGTAGTAGTTCACATTAGGTCAGGGTTCTCAGAAGATTCAAACAGATTTTTTTTCTTCCCCCTCAATGAGCAATATTTTATATCTGTTATTTATGTTCTGAACTGCTAGCATAAAAGCATTGTTCTGCTGTCGGTGTCTCAAATTAATTGCAGTGGGCAATTTCGTCTTATCTTCTTCCCACCCAAACAGGAGTTACTTTTTTCCCCTTGTTTTTTTGCTAAGGCTTTACTGTGCAGCTGAGCTTTCTGCTCAGATACCAGCTGTAGAAGTGGGCCTTCTTTGATCTAACTCAAACACGGAGGAGGTCCTGGAGCTTGTCTTTTGGTGTCCATCTGCAGATGCACAGAAGATACTTGGCCTGGTATTTCTCATCTGTAGCTCTCCATTCCTCCTGTTACTTTATGTTTGAAAACACAGCCAGCCCAGGGTAGGAATGTAAAAGAGAAAAAAAAAGGGCAGCAAAGCTGTAGAAGTCCCACGCATGCATGTGCTGCTGCCTAAATAACAGCAACAAGAATCATTTTAAAAATAAGTATTTCCTGAGAGATTTTAAGGGAGCAGCAACTTGAGAGCAGTACCATCAAGAAGATGGCCTGCGATTTGGTTATGATGGGTGAAGCAATTAGCTTCCCAAAGTTCGTTCTTCCATGTGTATTGTGTAGTAATTACTGCTGCAGTTCTCCCTGGGGCTGTGAGTGCCAGTAGGACAGTTGGGCCATTGTGAAATGCCATCTGCAGCGGGTCAGACAAGTCCCATTGTCTCTCAGCTACAGCGATCTGCAGCAGTTGCCAGGCCTGACATCTGTGATGGCTGTGCTGCTGAATTCTGGCATTTCTGAGCCCCGAACTTTTGAGAAGTGTGTGGCCCTTTGGCTGTACGTATTGTCATACAGGCACATGTCTGATGCCCTCATCGAGTCGTGTCAGTGACAGTCAGGCTCCATAGAGGAAAACTGTACTTCTGTGTTTATTATGTATGAAGTATTTGAAATGTCCTGCTTACTGTGCAGCTTCTGAGCAGGATAATTATGATGCAGAAGGCAGTTATGTAGTGCATTCTGCTTATGTTTGGGTAGAATAAATATATCCTCATATTCGTGTATTTTTAGTAATAGATGCTTTTATGCTGATTTGTGGAAAAACATTGTAGGAAGAAAACAAGTGTTTTTCAAAACATACCAGTAATGGAAAATGAAAGCTTGACTTACTAAGCAGTGAAATAACAATTCTGTTTTCTTTTTTACCATTTCTGTTAGGTCATATTTGAAGTATAGGAAAATACTTCGGGTCAGGTTATCTCTTAAAAGTGTGAGATGTGGCAGGTGGGCAGTTGACTGAGAGGAATATTTCAAGTTACAAACACATCCTTCTTGTTCTGCATGGCAAATGCAGTGTGATGCTTTCCAGTATGCTGAGCTAATACTGTTCTTGGTAGCCTGTTCTGCTTCTAATAGCTGTAATAGCTGACAAATCTTCAGTGGTGTTTATATTACTGTATCTAAAACATTGTGTTTGACAGCCACGAGGAACTTTATTCCAGTCGTCCATATGGAGCACTTGATTCTGGCTTTAATAGTGTGGACAGTGGAGACAAAAGATGGTCAGGGAATGAAGTAAGTATTGGAAATCGTTTTTGTTGAGTGCCATATTTTATGGGAAAGAAAACTGTTAAGTGTACATCTTATGTTCAGTAGGTAACGTAAAATGTTTCTTCATTGTTTGTTTTCTGAAGCCAACAGATGAGTTCTCAGACCTCCCTTTACGTGTGGCAGAAATCACTAAAGAGCAGAGACTGCGAAGAGAAAATCAGTATCAAGAAAACCGAGGGAGCACAGTTGTAACCAATGGTGGAGGTAAATGGTGATCTTTGGCTAACAGTATTTATTGTTGTCATTATTAGAGTTTTAGAGTACTTGCTATGAGCAATAGGATGTCCAAAGACAAAGAACAGAGTGAGATTCAGAAAGACTGTTGTGTAAACGTATTTTATGTAAAGGCAAAATCAGACAGCATCAGAATTAGGATTTTCAGGGAGATATTATGTCAGCTTCTGCATATATGCCACAATTGTGTGAGGTCACTTGAGTACTTTGAATAGTGCTTTGGAATCATGAATTTCAGCTCTTAAGGTTTTGCTGCTTGAGCTACTCAGAGAAATTACAGCAGCAGTGAATGGTCTGTGCTCTGTTCCACTGCTTTTGCAACAGGATGGGCAGTTTTGTCAGGGAATTCCTGACAAAGCAGGAATCAAGCATAGATATGCCTTGCTCAGGAATCTCAAGTCTTAAGCCAGACATGTGAGCCAGCTTAGAGGGACAGGTACTTATAAGCATGATCATGTTTTTAGACCTCAATTTGTTGCCCTGCAGTCTTAAAATGGCACTTTTTCATTTGTTCCATAGATGACAGTGCTTCCCATGTTTCTTGATCTCCACAGTCTTTATCCGTTTTAACTTGCAGTAATCTGCTACCACTGGCTTAAAGTTCAGTCTTCTTTTTGTTACCATGACCAGTTTTAGCATTCTACACATCTGTTTTTTGCAGTCATTCCCTCTTCTTTTCACTCACTACCACATCTACTGATTAAATTTTCTTCTGCTGTTTTCCATTTCCCCTAAGAGTTCCAGCTCATGTACCCTATCTGAGTACCTTCCCAATAATTTCCATCTTTCTCATCCATCTCCTGTTCTCTTCCTTCCTCCTCTCCATATTCAGTTTTGGCCATCTTGTTTTTTCAGTCTTACTCTTTACAGTTAAATTCTGGCCAAGTTAGAAGAATTGAAAACATGATGTTAAGGGAAGCCGTGGGCAGCCTTAATAACAGGTAGTGCTGCCAGCTGCACCTCTGAGACTTAACTTTATTTTGTTCTTTGGGTTTTGTATACCGGGCATTTTGAAATTCCTCATTAGTCTTTAAAGTGGAGCACAGTCAGTGCAAGTCTCAGCATATGACTGCCAGTGACCCATGAGATCCCTGTTAGTTTTGTGCTTCTGACACTGCTACTAATGTATTTCACCTTCTACTGTAATATTATTATTAATGTTTAATAAGCAAGGCTGGAAAGAAGGTGGTTGTGGTGTGCGTGGTGTGGCTTTTTTTTGGGTATCTTTGAGTGTAGGGTGGTCTTCTGGTGTTGTTTTGTGGTGGTGGTGGTGGTGGAGTTTTTTTGTTGTTGTTCAGATTTTTAGGATTTGAAACTGAGATGGAGATAAAATGAAGCCAGAATATATAGGAATGCTATTCTGGATGGGTGTAGTAGCAGAGGAGGTGGCTTTGGCAGTAACAGTTGCTAGATTGTGTGGTGAGGCAAAGAGAGGTCTGTTTTAGGCCAGCAGGAAAGAGGCGGAGAAGTAGGAAAAGAATGTCTGCAAGAGAGTCTAGAGCAAGTCTGGGGAGAGTTTCAAGGACAGGAAAGCTCTGGTGCTCAGAAAAGGAGCTCGTGCTCGTTCGCCTGGTGCAGGGAGCCTGCTTTGGCAGGGGGGTTGGACTTGATGATCTCTGGAGGTCCCTTCCAACCCCTACCATTCTGTGATGCTGTGCTTTCCCTGTAACCACCGCACTGGATTTTTTACTAAGCTAGTTTACTCAGTGTCATGACACAGAATTCCTGGGCAGAATGCGCATTCTGTGTACGTAAAATAAGACTTCTGTGTTATTTTATGTTGTTTTCGAGGGTTTTGTTGCTTTCTGTAAAATGTTCCATTATTTCCACTTACGCTTTTTGTAATCATTGCGTTTGCATCCAGATAACCTGGTCATGCTCCTCTGTTTTGTTGCAGTAGGAGAGCTATGTGATATCCATCCTAATTTGTCTGAAGGAGATGATTTAGAAACGAAATAAATTCAGCATGTACACAGACCATTGCACAGTCTGTTAGATGCTTTTCAGCATTGAGACAGTTATAATATTGATTTTTGGTTATTGCTGAAGTATCCACAGCCAGCAGTTCAGAACTACGTTTTGTATGTTTCCCATTGCTTTCTGAAAACCATGGATTTTATTGTCACTTCAAAATCTGATGTTTAACAGACATTAGCAGGCCAGGCAGGATCCAACACCTTTGAGGCTGAGCTTTCCAGACGGAAGGAAGCCAGTAGGACCTCAGTTCCTGGCACTGTTTTTGTGTTGTTTATTTTCTCCTCCTGTTGGTCGTCTAATGATGGGTGTTTCCTTTGTGTGTGTATGTCAAGTGGAACACGATCTCGATCAGATCGACTATATTGATAGCTGTGCCACAGAAGAGGAGGAGGAAGAGGTGAGGCAACCCAAGTGCGTGGACTCAGACAGCCTCAGCTCACAATTCATGGCATATATTGACCAGCGGCGAATCTCTAATGAGGTGGTGCTTTTACTTTAATTAAATTCACATGCCACAGGAAAGCCTTTGTGTTTATATTAATGTTTCTTGTCCTCACAGGTATAGAGGGGAAAAAAAAAAGACATTAGTATGGTCTGGTCTGATTGAGGGTTCTGTCGAGCTTTGTGGAGGTTCAGGGCTGAAGTGTTAAGCTGCTCCTGAGTGTCCTTTGGGAGCTGTGGGATGAGTCTAAAGCAGCCACACTTCAGCTGTGGGTTTTTGCAAGCCTTGTGCTTTAGGTTTGTGTGAAGTGAATGGTTTTCCAGAGGAGTATTATCATCAGAAAACACAGGAGTTGATGCTTCTGAATGATAACTGGTGATACCTAAGATGTTCATGTTTACCTGATGAATCACTTAATGAATAAATGGCTTTTTTAAGGGAAAAAATGCTCACTGTCAGCTTAAAGACTTACTACGTGAATTTTGCAGCTTCATTAATTTGGCTGTTCTTGTTGATTACAAGGAAACTTATTGCCATGAACATACATTTTTATGTTTAGACTAACTTCAGTACTCAGACTTTTCAGAAAGCCCACTATAAACTGCAAACAGTTTCTGTCTCCTTCAGTTTTGAGCAGGGCTCTGAGATGTCACCACAGGTTACAGACTTGGATACGTCTACAGTCACCTGTCTGAGCAGGAAATGTTGTACTTTGAGATCAATCTGGCATGCAGCTGTTCTCAGTCAGCAAAAGCATCGAGTTAAAAGAGCAGTGGGTAAAATTATTGAGATGGGTTAGAAGGTTTTCCAGCCAGCTTTTTGCAAATATCTGGGTACAGGCATGAGTAGGTCTGGCCTATTTTCTCTTCTCACAGACACTTCACACACACATACATAGACACACACACAAAAAAACCTCTTTGTTCTTTCCTCCCAACAAGTCTAAACAGTATTTTTTTCATTTTTGTTCTCAAGTATCTTTCTGTTCAAGCTGGTATGTAGTACTTGCACTGGAATGCTGCATTTCAGAAATCTCTGTAACCGCCATCTAATTCCTGAGAGTCACAGTGCGTGCACCTATTTACCCACAGCATGCAGATGCAGAACTGGACAAAACTGGAAAACATCTCTGTTCCAACTGCAGCAGCCTCTGCTGTGAACGCTGTGTACTTCTGGATGGCAGACGTGGCGGAGTCTCCTCAGAAATCAAACTCTAGCAATGGGTTTTTAGCCCCATCACGTTTCTTTTTCTGTTCTGTGTAAGTAGTGCCTACGTGCACAGCTTCACAGTTCAGCAGATCGTTACATATGCTGCATAAGCAACCTGTCTGAGCAAATCTTTGTTGCTGGTTGATATGCTTAAACAGTACCTATTATGCTGCAGTTGACGTGTCCTTTCAGATCATTGTGTGTTTTGAAGCAGAAAGATACTTACTTTTGGGGGGAAAAGAAAATCGAGGCTCTTTTAGGATCGTGTGGTCTTGTAGTGTTCATGTAGGATCACCACTGTTTTGTCCACTTTGTGTTATTGGTTGCTATGTTAAACATCAGTGGCACAAACATCCATTGGAGACGCATTCCTTTTGGAGATCTCAAGTGCAATATCAAATGATGCCATTTGAAGTATAGAAATGAGCAGAACTCAGAAAAGGCAGCTGCTGGCAGCGCAGTGCAAGGGCTTTTCACTTTTAAATAGTGGAAAGTGATTAATGTCAAAAAAGCTGGAGGTTCTATATTCATAAAAATGAAGCTGTTTACAATATGTCTAAAAATATGACTATTCTAAAGTGCTCTGCAAGTTAGAAGGCTAACTATATTGCAATGTAGCAAGTGAAAACTGACAATTAATCTTAATGTTTCCATTTTTCTACATTAGTGGGTATAACTAAAAGTTGAAAAATAGCACCAGGAGCAGTATGTCTCTGTTCCCAATGAGATCCATGACTTCATAGCTGAAATTAAGCTGTAGGTATTCATCTCATATTTTCCTTTTTTATTCTCCTGTGACCTGTCGTAGGCATCATAAGAGAGCATCAGCTTTGTATTCTGTATATCGAGTCTGCCTAGTTGGAAGTAAAAACATCTCTGAGATGTGTTTTGTTGTTCTTTCTTGGATATCTTGAATACTGCTTGTTAGAAGTGTTGCTATACAACGAGATGCATTGACTTCTAATGTACATTATTCTGGATGTGTTGCTAACTCAGTCTCCTGTGTTGTCTGCACAGAGCTCACCAGCAAAGCCAGGATCTACTAGAGAATTTCAGAAGGCTGAGGACACGAGGCGGTATTTACAACAAAACAGGTAAGAGATGTGCTAACACTGGTTTCTACAAAGTTTTGTGGTGAATCCAGAGCACCTTCACTGGATGGTTTTCTGTTTTTTTTTTTAATGATGTTTTCTTTTGCTTCACTGGAAACATGCATGGCACTTACAAATATGTTGTTACTCCGGATTTGGAATTCGTATTGTAGTCATGGCACTGATCAAAAGGCTTGACTATTCTGTACCAATGCTCAGATTTAAATGAGTTGGTTAAAAAATCTGCCAAATTAAAGCATGTAGTTCTAAACAGATGTAATATATGCTTTCTGTGATTCAATTTGTGTTTTGATTAAACAACAGATAAATTTTTATCCATAAATACGGGTCAGAACTGGACAGGATATGAATGAGGTGGTTAGGTTTGGGTGTCTTGTTGAAAGAGCAGAGAATAAGAAAATTGATAGGTTTTTGATAACATGAAATCAAAACTGACAGAACCTTAAATATACTGTTGAAACACTGCAATATTCTGTGGAGCGAAAATGAATGCGAAGCAATCAGCAGAAAACCAGCTCAGCTGAACTAGGAATATTTTAAAGAGAGAGAACTGCAAGCTCTCAGTATGTCATTATTTGCACTGTCAGTAAAGTGTGATGATTTAAAAATGGTCTTCAAAGAGAACGAGAAATCAAGAGTAGTGTGTCAGTGTTTCCAGAATAATGGCAGTGTTTTAACAGGGGTCTTGAAATGTGCAGTCAGTGTGTAAATATAGGAGCTGTGTTAGTATAATGGAGGATAACTCCTTCAGCACATATCAGCATTCCTTACTCTGTAGAGTCTATAAGTAAGGCATAAAATAATTTGGGGTGAACGTAACGTGCTCTCTCAAATGAAGTAAATGCTTTTGGCTTGAAAGGTCCATTTGGTTTTGGTTTTATGATACTTTGTCCCATTTGAACATTTGTGGTTAACATAGAAATAATTAAAGAAATGAGAAATTCCGTCTGAAGAAAACAAGGTGAGAAGGCAAGTTAGTCAGCAGTAAGCTGCTGCCTACGTGTGCAGATTGAATGATAAAGGAACTTTAGATTACTAGAGTATCCATTGTTAGCAAAATTTAACTTGAGAATGGCAGTGGATGTCCATGTGTAGGTTGTTTATTAAGGATCCAAGGGAATTGGAGCTTGCTTGTATTCTGGTGCAGCAGAGCAAAATTCTTAATAAGGCACTGAAAACAAATAATATTATTGCCCTCGAGATTATGGAAAAACAGCCATATGACAATTAGCAGGTTTTAATGTATATAATTTTAAGTATATATTAGACAGATATTTCATTTGTGCCATCCACAAGCTGTAAACTGCTTCCACTATAACTCATTTCATGCATGCAGCCCTTTTTTTTTCTTTTTTTTTTTTTTTAAACATGCTGGAGCCATTAAAACTCTCGAAGAGTTGGATGTAATGCAAGCTTCATCTTAAGAGTACTTACATTGGTTGATTTAGCTCAGTAAACACAGTCGTTGCCCCTGGGTGGGTTGTGGTGCATTTCTGATACAGCAGCACTGAGCGCACTCTGCTCTGAGTGCACTTCCTGGCACTTAGTTGAACCCTGAATGCTGTTCTTTCCAGGAACAAAAAGGCCTGTAATCTCCAGAACGTAATATTAAGAGAGATTCAAACTTCCTGTATTTTGAAATCATTCTGATAATTAAGGAAATTACATCCATTAAATTATGAACTGCAGTAGTTGCGACCTAACTTGGTATCACAACATTTTCTTTAGCTGTCTTAAATTCCACCTTTGTGGTTGTCTGAAGCTAACTGTCTGAGCAATTAGTTTTACAAACAGCTGTAATCTGGAGGAGGTTTTATCTGACAGTAGTGTTTATGCATGAGTGGCCAATCCCCCTTCCACCTGGTGTTTGCCTGCAGGGACACTGAATTACGAAGACCTGAAACTCTAAATTTGATGCAGGACAGAGAGCATCACCAAGTACTAAGGAGTTATGTGGACAGGACAGAGAGGTAGGGAGAAGAAACGTGTAGTTCCTACTAAATATTTTGTAATTATTTTCTTTGCTAGCCATAGTAACCAGTTGTTCCTCTATGTGAGGATCATCTGGAGAATTCCTGGAGTGGTTACTTAATCAGCTCCTGTAGAATGAGTATTAAGTACTGGATATCTCAATGTAATAAGCCAAATGTACAAAGCCATTGATACATCTTGAGCTGTGGAAGCATTTTAATACAGTTCAGGAGAAGAGGTAGAAATAACTGCACTGAGTCGACCATGAAGTAGTGAAGTTAAATTCTTATTGCAGCAGTTTAACATCTTACTAAATAGCCTCTCTTACAGAGTTAATAAGATAAATGTGCATCACTGACAACTCTGTGTGATTTCATTTTCGTAATTTAAGATTGAAAATATACTTTTTCTTTTTCCATTTGGCAGACTCCCAGCTGATTCACCTTACTTTCTCTCTCTATCAAGTCACCAGAGTCAGGTAACACATTGAACTCTTCTGTCTTACTCTTCTGGCTAAGTGTGATGCAGAACCAAACTTAGGCTAGCTGTAAGACGCAGACTGTTTCTCTGTAACCCATCTGTCTTAACCTCTGTAGCTCTATCAGTACAGCACAGTGCACTGTTTTGTTCCAGGTGCCCAACACAGACCCTGACCTGCATCGCAGGCACATAGAGCGAACCCGGCGGGAGGCACAGCTAGCAGCACTGCAGTACGAGGAGGAAAGGATGAGAACAAAGCAGATCCAGAGAGAAGCTGTTCTCGACTTTGTTAAGGTACCTTTCCTTTAGTCCTGAGTTGATGCCAAACCTTTATCATTTTCTTTAATGAAAATGAATTGCTGTGGTCATTAACACTTAGATGCTGCACTCTTGGGCATGCGTGGTATTTTATAACGCAAATGAAGCAGCAGCTAGTGTTTGAGCTGCCTATGAAATGAGGCTTTTCATTAACACAACTATCTTAAGTCCCCTGGTAATATTGCAGAAAATAGTTTTTTTTTTTTTAATTATCAAAGAAAATCAGCTCAGTCTTGCAGTTAAAAACTTAACAAAATGCATCTTCATTGACAAGCCTTCTTTTTTTTCTTCTGTTGCCTTTGTTATTCATGAGAACTTTGTTCTCAGCAATGGAATTCCTCCCTTGGGTTGTATTTGGGGACTATTATGCCTCTTTAAGATGCAAAAACAATTTGGGCTTTTTGTTTTCATACAATATAAAGGCTGGCTTTTGACTAATAATATTAGTGAAGTTCCAGCTAGTGGAAACTTGCAATCAGGCTGGTGCATGTTTTATTTAAGACCTAGGACTATTTCTGTTTTAAAACGCTTCTTAATTATGCTGTAATATTCAGAGCTTTTGTTTCCCTGTCTTATTCTTTCAAATTGATCTTTCCTTTTTTCTTTCTGTATAGCAAAAAGCATCCTTAAGTCCTCAAAAACAAAGTCCTCTGGATAGCGAGGTAAGACTCCAATAAGAGCATTATGTTTCTCCAGGGGAAAAAGAAAGCTATCTCAGAAATCAGAGGTTTTCCTGATTGTGGAGAACACTTCAGGACTGGGTTATAGCATAGCATTTCACATTTAATGAGCCCCTGGTTCACACCCCAAGCACACACCTCCCCTTATGGACCCGTTTAATATTTCCTTCTGTTCGTGCAGATTGCCTGTCTGAGTGTTTTGCTTTCTTGTATGTTTTCTATGTCCTATACGGAAAATAGATTTCACGTTCCATTTCAAGATGCTGCTTGGAAGCAATACAGTTCACTTTCTAATGGGAGTATTCAGACAAGTTTTTGTGGTGCAGTCATTTCTCGTTTGTCGATCAGTTTCCTCCCATTTGCCTGTTGTAATTCCAGTTATCCCAGAAAGATCAGCTATTTTTATTTTGAGGTCTGTTTGCTTAGTCAAAGCAAAAGAAAAGAACTTTCTTTTAGTATCATTTTATAGTCAAAGGCAATGAGAAGGGGACAAGAAATGACGCAGAGCTCAGTCTTCTAAAATATACAGACGTGAGCCAATGACATCTGCTCACTGTGTGCATCACATTTCAGTGTAATAAGTGCTCTTCTACTGCTTGCCATCCCCTCGTACATGAGGGAAATTAATTCACATGGCAGTGTTAATCAGATCAAAACCTTTAACTGCATAATGCAAGTTTATTTATATATTCACTAATGCAAGCATAATTCTCTCTTTAGAAGCATTTTTCACCTTATTTTTGCTTTGAAAATTACTAAAACATGGGATATTTGAAATAGTCTTTGCTCCTTTTTGCTCCTCTTAATGTTCTTTTGTTCTGAATTTATTCTTTTAAAGGGTCCTTTGTTCTCCCATGGTAAAAATTGAATACGTGGTTGTCTGTATGTGCTTGAGACAACACAGAGAGCAGGATAATTGATGCCTTAAGTGATAGGAGTACCCTGTAATTCCTGGGTCATGTGGCTGTATATTCCTACGCAGTTTTGGCTACTGTATGGAACTGTAGAAGCAATGCCTCACAGTGCTATAAACAAGCAGCACGTGTTCCAAAATGTCTGTCTGTTCACAGCTGTGTCGTTCTGTTTGTTTCTGACATTACTCCATCTCTCCCACCTCCCAGTGTCCCTTTCCATCCAGAAGGTCTCAGCATACTGATGATAGTGCCTTGTTAGTGGTAAGATCCTGCACGCAACAGCCTTTATTCTGTGGCAGATTCTGGAACATAAAAATAATGATGTGTTACGTTTGTCTCGGATTAGACCAACTCTTTCAGATCTAATCTAAATAGCATAAAACATGACCTCTTTTTTCAGAAGTGACTTATTTTGAGTATGTTGATATTTGTACTGTCAGCCGTTTCTTAATAATACAGAGATGTTTTCCTGCAAAATAATTAAAACTTTTTGCTAAGAGCAGAAGGAAATTACTACTAATGAAGAACAACTTATAAAATTCAAAATTGACCTCTGGTAGTTCTACTTTGATTTGCCCTCCATTTAGCTTGCTTACTAATTGATGAGCTCTCCACTGTCAAATAAACAACTGGATGCTCTGAATACAGCCCCCACTTGAGCTTTGTTTGCATCCTGCACCAAGTGCTTGGCATGGACTGGTGTCCTGAGAATCACAGCACAGCAAGAGGAAAATATTGCTGTACAGATAAGTGCTAGAAGTCTGAACTATTTCTCATTCTCTGCTGCTGTTTAGTGATGAAAATGTCTTACTTACCTATTTTGAACACTAGCAAAAAGGAAAACTTTTATGTACTTCATGTTTTATGCTATTTCTTCTTTTGTGGCATCTTCCTGATGCAACATAATTAAAGAATATTATTAATGCCACAATCCTTGTCTGTAGAAGGAGAATACACTTGATTTGCCTGCTGTTGCATGACTGCATGCCTGGGATTCATGTTCTTAGCTCATGTGCATCCCCATCACCTACCTAAATTCTCTATAGACAGTGCTCTCAGAATACATCTCTTCAGAACGTGTTGCTCAGTGTTTACTGTCTCTTCATTCAGACGTGTTGGTGTTCCTGCTGTCCTCATGCCCAGCACTGTGAGGGGGCAGAAAAGAATGTGTTGTGATCATGCATGTGCCTGTTGACAGAAATCACACTCAGCCAATCTAAATACAGAAGCACATTTATATGCTGTAAGAACCAGGAGAGCAGACGTGGGTTTTGTGAAGTGTTGATGCTGACAGTGAATTCATCTTTAGAATGTATTTCAAAGATAATACGTTTTAAGGACCCTTTTATTTGTTAGTGTCATCCCGTGGTTTTTATTGTACTGAATTCTAGGTTGTATACTTGGAATTTTTAGCAGTCAGTTTGCTGAACTTCCATTCACGGTGGTTTCTTTTGTTCCTTTATCCAGATTAAATCTTTGCACAAAAAAGGGGTTGGGGGGAAGAAGTGGCTGGGCTGGCAGGGAAAGTTGGAACCATATTTGAAAACAGTTTCTGCATTAAATTTTCTTTGGATTTCTTGCTCTTTTTCAGCAGCTCTAAACTCTGCAACCCATACATCGTGGTTTCAGTGTATGAAACACTGGTTTTCTGAACTATGGAAGTATGATCTGCGTATCTGTGCTGCAATGGAAATGCATACTGTGTCTAATGATGACAGATGCCAGGACAGCTGCTTGTAGGGATTGTTGTAACTGGAACTTGTAGCTCTGGGCAGCTCATGAATTTGCAGCAGTTGTTTTTTTTCCACTACTGTATTTTGTGTGGCAAAAAACTTGTTTAACAGCAAGGAGTCGATCCCTAGTTTGCTTAAAAAACAGAAGTAGTCATAAGAGTTGAAATTATACTTCTACCTTTTTTAATTCTGTTGGATTTCCTTGGACATCAAGCCCATAGGACATAAGTCTGTCCTATGGGCTTGAAATGTAGCTAGATCTAAGTTCTGAGGCTGTTTTTTTCCTTCAGTGAAGCATAGGGGCATTCATATCAAAGCACCATTTGCTAATGACAGTTCAGTACATTTTTTCCATTTACATCCTTTTATCTGTATCATTTTCTATGCACTGCATAGAAACTCATGCACTTTCTCAACACTGCATGCCAATAAAGCTGCATACTGTCTATTGGATTTTCCACTAATCGTTCCAAAAAAAATTAATAGTTACCTAGAATGCAAGTGAGCTCTCCTTTATTTTGGTAGTTCTTCAGGTGTCGTTACCTCTTCAACAGAAAAATTCCTAAAAGTCAAATTTAAGCTGTTATTTTCCTTTTTAAATCTCATCACATTTCTTTTGCTCCTCTTGTCTGTTGCCATTTAACACAAATTGAAATGCATTTGTGTTGTACAGTTTGCTCTGGTCATTCCTTCCCATCAGTAGGTACTTTCAGGGCAGTCTGTTTCAGCTCACAGAATGGCTTTCCCATGCCTTTTATGAGCATTTTTTACTTGCTTGTTCCTTCTGCATCCCTGCAATGTGATGCAAAGTGGGGTTTGGCTATAGGACTTGAGAGCGTGTTGTGATGGATTTCACTGTGTTGATTTATAACAGCCAGACTAACTACACCTTTGCTGAGGAAATACACTGTAGGTTTTCTCAGAGGGGCCAGTGATTGTAACTCAGTCTTGTATTACTCATATCCCATTTGCCATTCTCACTGGAGTAGTCTCATTGCAGTGGGGAGTGCTTGTTAATACAGCATCAGCGCTTCAGATTTGGGGTAATGATTTCAATCTTGCCTGCTTTTGAATCTCATCTTTCCCCAGATAGCTTTTTTTCCCCTCTACTACTGTACATTACAAGGTGGGTTATTGGGAGATGGATACTAAAGGTACCACTGTTGTTCTCACAAACTGCTTCTCAGTTTGTCACAAAGCCTGTGAAATGCCCAGTGGGCACCAGGCAGCTGCTGTGACCTCTGTGTAACACTCATGTTAGTGCTGCTGTGGGCTGCTTTCGTTGTGTTTTCTTCTTGTGGTCTCAACTGTGATCTGGGACCATCATCACCGTTAACACATGAGATCTCTGAGACTTTTCAAGTTAAGCCTTTTGGCCACCAGTGTGCTACAAGTAATAACAGCATGAGTAAAGTAAGCATGACTTGAATTATGCTAACTTGTGCCCTGGAGGTTTCTCTCAGACAGTTATCATCCATTTGTATGCTCAGACAACTGACAATCAAATTGATGTAAAATAGCCTTATTTTTAGTTAGTGCAGAGTCATAGTTGGGCTGTTTTGGCATTCTTTCTATCTAAAGTTGTTTCTGGCTGGGGACATTTCTCTAACTTCATTGCTACACCTACACAAATGAAGAGCAGCGTGTGCAGTCTTAAGTCAGAATTGCAGCACCCTGATTCTTCTTGTATTGCAGCTACCTTCTCTTATGGTTGTTCTTTGCCTCACTTCTTCCTCTTTTCCTCCCTTTCTTTCCTCGCTGTCCTTGACAGAATGGCTTTGAGCCTCTCTTTGTGTTTGAGATTGACAATAACACCAATACCATTAAGAGAAGGCCAGGGACTCGCAAACAGGTGAAGAGCATGCGCTGTGTTGCTGTTGTGCTTCTCTTACCCTCTGTGTGCTGTGTTTCCCCCTTTGCCCACTGCTGGGTTTGTGGATCCTGACTGCTGCTTGTTAGTCTGTGTCAAGGTTGTCCTGCTCTTTTTGTACAGCAGTAAAGTTGCATTAATGTCACAGACCACCACCATTTGTTTTGTTTTGCTTTGCTTTTTGCTAGACTAGCTGATGTTACATTTGCTGAAATAACATTTTGAAACTTGTAAAGCAAACAAATAAAACCAGCAAAAAAAGTTAGCTCTGCACTGCTGCAAAGGAGGCTGTTCTGAGGATCAGCTGCTGTCTGCATGGGGCATGAAGGTTTTTGTGTAAGGTTTGCCTTGTTTGTAACATCTCCTTCCATGTGTAATTCACAAAGATCAGCATTAGGTATTAGTGGCAGAACAAACATGTGTCCTTTAGCCCATTAAATATGAGTATCTTACAGAGTTGACAGATGAACTTACTACAAATGCATAGCAGACTTTAAACATTAAAAAGAAAAGTATTTATTTAGATTAGTGGCTCAGGATGGGCTGTTAGAGGGTATGCTTTCCTTTTGGAATGAGAGGCATAGATGTTACTTTAGGTGTTTCTTTAGGAAGTGCTTTGTTGTTCAGTTTTGCTTCTGATGGCACTTTGTTGTGTATAAATAGGAAAGTTTCACCTCCCAAGCTCATTAGCCAGAAAGTTCAGGAGGGTAGGAAAGCTTTAACCATTCAATCTGTTTGAAAAGCAAATACCTGTTGTGCCTGCCTTTTGCTTTTTGAGTGTTTCTGAGTACATAACCATGATCACCTCTACCTTTCTGACTTGGCTACTCAGTTCCACCTGTGCATGTGCCCTACCAGCTGCTTGCTAACACTGCTGCTGCCTTCTCTTTCTTTCTGCATTCAGTCCCTCTTAGGGTTGAATCAAGACAGCTGTGCTACTGCCCTGCCTAACGCCTCTGCCCTCAGTCCTGCCAAGGTATCTCTTGCTATTATCATTCACCAATAAAACCAACAAAAAAAACTTGGATCCACACATCTGTTTTAACAGATGTTGGTATGTCAGCTTCTAGTCAGAAGTTCAGGTAGGGTATGAATCTGATTTACATGATTAAACCGTAGTAGCTATGACCTCATCTTAGCTTTAGGCTGTGTCTAAGCTAAAAAAAACATGGTAACCCTTCTGCTCCAAGGGATTCCTCATTGTCTTTGATGTTGCTTTTTATTTATAAGGTGATTTTCTCTTAACAAAGTTGAGTTTATCAGAAGTACTTCTACTGTATTCTTTACTGGCTTGCTTTTCCCATTGAGTATAGGTATCCTATAATTTTCTTTTGTGGAAACTGCTATTCTGAATGTATTCATCGTGAGAAATTGGGCTGTGTTAAGTACTACAGTCAGACTAAAGTGTATTTCGCTAGGGAAATGGATATTCAGTGAATAGCAGTTTTCTATTTTCAAGGTGTCAGAGTGTGTATTCTTATCCATGCTGCTGTTAGGCAAGTTTAGCATGTTCTTTAATTAGCTGTTCTTGCTGTGCCCCCTCTGCAAAGGATACTTAACATCTTGGTGAGGAGGAGGAGTAAACAAAGAGAGCATTGCACTGTCAGTGCTGTTTCGTCACTTCTTCAGAAAAGAGTAATTGTGGCATTTCTGCAAATAAAAAAGTTAAGCTGCTTTCTGCAGGGATAAGACTTGGAGAACAACATGTTGTGTTTTTCACATCTGGCTTTTCATTCTGAAGTATGTTTAGATGGATGGTGTCTTATATAAAACACAGCAAATAGTGAAAATGTAGTCACAACTTTTTCCAGATTAGGACCATTTATGCTCTTCTACTTTTTTGTCTACAGAGTGATGACAGATCCACCATCTCTCCTGGCTCACCCACCACTCAGACAGGTAACAGGGAAAGGAAGCAAAGCTTCTGAAAAACGAGATCAAAATATCTGCCTGCACGTTTGTGCTATGAGGAGAAGGGAGCGCCGTATGTGGCACTGCTGTGCTTGAGAGCTTACCCACTTATTTGGGTCTCCTTGAAAACACACGAGGGGAGAGGCAGCAGGGCTGAAGCGTGTCCTCAGGGACAGTGTAGGCTTTGGCCCACAGATTCATTCAGCAGCAGTCAGAACAGTTGTTGGAAGTGGTATGTGGAATGTGCTTTGCATGGCGAGTGTCCTTGAAAGTGCCTTTTCCTGCTCTATGCTTTTATCATGCATGCATGTAATTTATTTTGTCATTATCTTAAATTTTATTTTGTTCTTTTTAATTACCACGTTGCTGAACCCATTTCCTATTTAAATTCTAACCGTTTCCTTCTTCCTCATTTCCTTTCCTGTGCCTTCCCACATTTGTTTAGTCCACCTTTCCCCTCCACATCCTGGTCATGCAGCCCTGCCTTCCTATAGAAACCCTTCCCAGCGACCCGAGAGTTTCCTTTTTCGAGCAGCTGTCAGGGATGAAGCAAACAAAGGTAGGTTATGTAACTCAGCAATTAGCTTGTTTTGCATTATGTTTTATTAACGTTTGCCTTACCTAGGTTTTGCACTGCTCTGTTACTTCAGGTCATTATCATCAAACTAGCTTTAGGGTTCCGTTTGTAAACATGTGGCATTATAAATACTTCGTGAACGACCACTGTGTTTGTGAAAATGTGGGAATCTGTTCTTCTTGGTCCTTGTCCTTACGCCTAAAAAGATAGCAAGGAAATGCCACACAAGCCTTCAACAAGTTATAAAGGCAGCTTGGTAGAATTTGCACCGTATGTAGCAGCGTATGGCAAAATTGCAAAGTCTGTAGAAAGGCTAAGCTCTTTCAACATACTTCATCTTTCAAAACTTTGTCCTCTTTTTGTGAATGATTAGTAGCCAACAGAAACAACAAAATCTAAAGGGAAAAGAAGATGTGTTAGGAAACACCTCTTTTAGATTAGCAGGTCATTAGTTTGATAGATTAATAGGCTTTTAAAGAAGCAGATTTGTGAAATGGAATTCCCTGTACCCATTCTGGAACACTGTGCGTCTGTAATGCAGCAGCGGAGGGCAGTCAGCCAAACCATACTTACTGATTTCTCTTCATGCTGTTCTTTCAGTGATTGCTTCATCATCTTCCCGTGCCTTGTCTCCTGCTAATGATTCTGCAGACACTAGAGTTAGGCAGAATTCCAAGCAGCGTGAGGAGGAGCTGGAGCTAATAGAGCAGCTACGTAAGGTAAGTGCTGACAAAGCCAGTGAACCTCTCAGTAGATGCGCTGTGTGCCATCGTGTTAAAGCTGCCCTTGTGTTCTGGACTGATTGCACTGAGCCAGTTATGGTGAGGAGTCGACCAAATTGAATGGCCTTGTGCAATTTGAGTGTTTCTTTCAGATGGAGGCAGTGGTGGTGGTCTTTTTCTATTGTGGATTAAGTTCAGTTCATCTGCAGGAAATATGCAGCACTATCTCTTGCTTCCGACTGGCCAGTGATCTTTGCTTTTAGATCTTTTTGATCTTTTGCTTATCACCCCTCATACTTGTGGTGAGCTCCCTGGGAAGCTCCCTCAGTGTCCTTCCTTTTAATCTCTTTTTAAAATTTCATCTTTGCTATAAAGCCTATAGAAAAGCAGGTGGCATGCAGGGACTGCTACCAGCATACTTTTATTGTGTGCTCTGAATCTACCTGTTGACTCTTGGTCTTGTTTATCCTTAGTTAATTGTAGAATATCTGTGGCAAAAATCTTCCTTACATTCAGGCTTTTTGTTTGTTAAGGGCCAGTATGCCCTGGTTTGTGCCCATGACAGTGGCACTGCTTTGCCCCAGGCACACTTGTGCTGTCTGTGAAGGGATTCCTTGAAGTGCTCTCATGCTCTGAGCTTTCTCAATAAACGAGAATTCCTTTCTAAAGCTGATTTTAAAAGCTGTAAGCATCCCAGATAGAGAGTTCTTTCTGTGCAAACGGTCAGAGTGAGGACAATCTGCTCTCTCCAAAAGGAGAAAGCTCTCTTAAGTAAAATGAAACAAAACTCAGTGTTTGTAGAGCCTTTCATCTCTTATCTCAGAATGCTTTATGTGCAGTCTCTCTCTTGTTCTGCTTCCTAGGTAAGATTAAATCTTTTCTATATACTTAAAATTATAGATTTAACTTAACAAGTCGGTGAAATTTGCACAGCATTTGGAGTAAAGTCTGATTTGAATTTGTGTTCATCCCTTAAACAAATGTTAACTACATCATTTTTAGAAACTATACTAAGTAATTGTCTGCTTTTTTCTTTACTGAGACTTTTATTAGCTATATTGTCCTCCAGTTGACAATTATTTTCAGTTCCCTTTGCAGAACCATTTGCTGAGAATGCGAAGGATTAGGAATATTGTTCTTAGACCCTGATTTCTATTACTTTTGAAGAATGGTTGTGTTAGTCCCTGTGCTGTGCTAAGAAAACTGTTTATCACTGGACTCAAGTGCTCCCAGATTGTGTCCAGCTCTGGCCCAGCACAGTGCAGGACCCATCTTGGTGTTACTCAGAAAGCTGTTCCAAACAGCCTGGAGAACAGACAGGGAGTTGTAACGCAAATGCTTCTGCTCTTATAAAATGTTCTGCAGACTGAAACAGTCGGAGGAAACCAGCGCTTACTTTTAGTGTCTGTGTTCATTTCTCACAGAATATTGAATCACGGTTGAAAGTGTCACTGCCCAGTGACCTTGGAGCAGCTCTCACCGACGGCGTTGTTCTGTGCCACCTGGCTAACCACGTCCGTCCTCGGTCTGTCCCCAGCATCCACGTCCCCTCACCTGCTGTTGTAAGTATGTCATAATGATGCTGTTTTGTAAGTCTCCAAAACCCTTCCAGCGAAGATCTGTAATCCAGGCGAGTGTGAAATTCATTATTTTCATTTGTGAACATAAGTGACAGCTGTTCTGTCTGTGCAGTATCTGTGGTTTCATTTAAAGCCTATGGGTTTGGGTTTGTTTCATTTAAATTAAGTTACTTCTGATGCAGATTTCCAGAAATCATTAGGATTTTCGTGTCCTCCCCATGTTAACTTGAAAAGTAGTAAAATAAGAGACGGTTAGTCCTGAAAAACAAAATAGGATGTTTCAGAAAATAAAAAGGTCTGAGAAATTCAGGAAAATGCATAGAGAAACACAACATTCTCTACATTATTTGAGATCCTGCTGCACAGAACAGCAAGAACAAGCAGAGAGACGAAAATGATTCCTGTATCCATTTCACAGCACTACAAATTTCTCCGCTTAGGCATGTCAGCAAAGCACACTTGAGCTGTGTTTGCACGTGCTTGGAGAACACCATCTCCTGGAACAAAGTAAATCCACTCATACCTTTGTGATACGGAGGAGGAAAAAAGATTGTTTTATCTGGGGGCAGTTCAGAGCAAGGAAAGAAGTGCACAGAGAAGTTTGACAACTGAGGAACTTTTTCCTCTTACCTAACTGCAGTGTTTTTGTAAGGCAGTGAAGGTGATATATTATTGGGTGCATTATTGTGTATCACGCTGGGAGAGCACGGAATTAAAGTGAGATGCAGAGCTGTGACACAGCAACAAATTAATTATGTCATCTATTAACCAAAAAAATAACATGAATGTGGCAGTCAAAAAGTTCAGTGAAAACGTTTATGATCAGCCACTTGAAAGTACAATGGAGAGACAAACTGCTTGTGATGTACCTTCATATCATCTTAAAACTAAATAAATAGGGGGAAGAAGTTTTTTCCTGCGAGAAGAGTTTGAAACAAGCACATTGTTTGCTTTTTCTTATTTTGGAGTCAGTCCTTGTGTTGGTTGGAATTTGAACGGGCACTTACAGGGCTGCATACTGTATCATTGTGGTTCCTCCTGCTTGGAATTATGTGAACAAGGAGATGTCTTCATTATTTTGAGAACAACTGAGCGGGGCACGCCAACATTTTAGGCAGATTGTGGAATCATTAAGAGAAATGCAGACAGCTGCTATTCACGAGGCTGGAGTTGTCAAGAATATCTTCTCAATGGCCTGGTTTTATGTGCTGCTGAATATTCTGTGTTACAAGTTAAATCATGGCTTTGTCATCAATGTCGCGGAAGAGGCAGCCCGTGGCTGCATGGCTCCAGCAGCAGAAGAGGCATCGTGTCTTTCCTCAGTCACAATATGGTCTTTGTGCTCCCTCCATCCTGCAGGAGAAAGAAGGCAGCAATAGCCTTTAACCTGCTTTCTTGATGGGGAACATGGCAGGGGGCAGAGGAAGAGCCCCACCAGTCTGCTTTTCCCCCCTCTGAAGGAAAAACACTGAACTCGCAGAGGCTGCTGCTGCTGCACACACTGTGGGTAGCTTGTGTGAAGGAACAGGAAGCTTGTGTCTCTTTAATCAGAAAAGAATAAGCTTCAGGAATAGAAACAAGACAGAGCCTGTGCAGTGCTGTGTCCATGCAGAGGTGAGAAAGCCAACAACGCAGAGGAAACTTACTTGAAAACTGCCAGTGAATTCATCTGCAAGAGGCTTGTATGCAGCAAGTTGCAGTGCCAGTTTTATTCCATGATACCTGGGTTCATCTAGCCTTCATTTTTATCTCTTTCTTAATTGAAACAAGATTTTCAGTATGTATTTAACGTAGTAATCCAGAATGGACACCAGATTGCTTCTTATCATTAAATTGTGCTGACATCACAGCACAGGTGCTACATATGTGGATGTTTCATTCAGTATGTGTCTTAAATTATCACATTGCAGTCACTAAAAATGTTAGCCTGTTTTATGTAACACTTTGTGCACCAATACAGCACAGGTTAGAGTTGTCTGAAAAAATCATCCAATATCCATAACGTACCTTTTCAGAAAGCTTGGAACTTGCTTTTCTAAGCAAACTGCAGCACAGCCTGGTTTGAATTATACAAACTTACTGCCGTGTGGTGTTTTTTGGCAAAGAGGTTTATTAAGAGTTTCATTAAAATTAAAATCCTTCCAATTAAGAGCACTTTGCTTCTTTTGCAGCCTAAGCTTACAATGGCGAAATGCAGACGAAATGTGGAGAATTTCTTGGAAGCTTGCCGAAGGATCGGAGTGCCTCAGGTACATTTTTCTGCTGTTCGGATGTTATGGTGCAGATGTGATTTTGTATATGATCAGGAAAAAAAAAATCCAATGTTCCTTGAAACGTTTGATGAAAATAAGGTGATTAAAAGTTTAGGAGGTTCACATGAGGTATGCCTTACTATATAGATAAGAGCCTGCATTGTCTTCCCCAGTAAAAAGAAGTTGGGTGTAGGTTGTCTATCAGAGGTCTGATTCACTGACTGCTGTGCCTTGAGTTCATAACAGCTGGGTGCAGCTTGAGCCTGGCTTTAGAACTGCAAGGTTCTTGATAAAACAATTCAGTTTTCTCAATATTAGGAATTTGGCAGCTTAAAAGTGGGATAAAATTTGGATGATGTTTTGCATGTGTAACTTCAATTCCAAAGCATTTGATGTTCCTTCAGAATAATCCTTTTGTGTGAACATCTGTACCATCTTGCCAAGAAGTCTCACTGTTATTGGCCTTTCTCTGACAGTAGCTATCTTTGCATAGATCCTCGTTCTTTGTGCTGAGTACCAGAGGTAGAACTCTAATCTCTGGTTTTCTTTCTCTCTTCTGAAACGAGTCCTGTTACCATGTTTTATGCTGTCCTGTCCTTTCCACTTTGTCTTATTCAGCAGCTGCCTCAACACAAATGATTCTGATATGTCACGTTTTTTCTTCATTTTTCTTCTAGTGTATAAATGTGATTGGCTTCTTACACGTACACAGTGTTTCTGCTGTAGGCACTGTTTTCTTTGTTATGTATTGTGAAAGGGAAAAGGAGACCCAGTGACTCATTTCCCTGCTATTTCTAAAAGCAGTGCTCTCAAGTCAGTTGTGCAGTATTTTCTGATAGCTTCACACAAAGGCATTTCAGCCATTGGGATTTTAGGATAGAATGTTTATTGAGCTGCCCAGCAGTTTCACATGACTCACTGGTGAATGGCATTGGAACATGGTAGGAAGTCATAAATGATCATTCATGTTTTGAGATGATGAGATATTTTAGTCCCCTAAGAAACTGGAGCCTGTGACTCCCAGCAGGACTGTGCAGTATAAATCCTTCTGGAGCAAAATGGTTCAATCCCACTGCAGCTTCCCTGTTCACAGCTCCCTTTGACACGGAGATGTAATTTTTATGGGGTTTGGGTACAAAGCTGATCTCTGAAATGGCACGCCTAAAAAGAGTCTCCGATAGACCCAGTCTGCTCCATCTACTGCACCTTCTGTTTAGGATCCTCCTGTTTTTCTCAATTCTCCTGCTTTAATGTGAAAGAGTTCAAGGAGAATGTCTCTGGGGAAACTCACTGAAATACCCCCAGCTGAATTCTGAAGTTGCTCTCACATGTCTAAATTACATGTCTGCTGAGATGAGAAGGCAAGATATCAGCATGAAGGAATGGCGTGGCAGCCTAATGTATTTCTACTGAAAAGATGCCTGCAGCTATTTCTTTTCATTTAAATTCCAATTACAAAAATGAAGGGCTTTCTGGAGGTATGGATCTATGTAGAAATACCTTCTAAGAGGAATGCCACTTTACATAAAAGGTTACTTTTAGAAAATATAATCACAGGCATCATAGTGAAGTGGCCATTTCCACAGAACTTTGCTAGTCAGTGCTGTGGCCTGAAAAGAAACCCACAGCTGAGCAGATTGGTGTGTGCATCTAGATTTCATTGATGTACAGCAGGCAAGTGAGACACTGGGAATGGTTACAGAGCACTGAAACTCTAATTAGTAATAGATTAAATTCTATTTAGTAATAGATATTTCTGCAGAATGCTGCATTCAAGTATCAGTTACACAAAAATAATCCCTTCTGCTGTTTTCATTAATTATGATACATGTGGAGACTGAGCACTCAATGCCAGAAGCATCTCAGAAAGCTGCAGGCTGTTTGCCCTGCAGAAATGGCTTTCATTAGGGCGTGTGTGAACTGCTCTGCTTTTAACTGCCAAGATGGTTCCATGTGTAAGTTGTGTAGCTTACAGGCTCCTCACTGAGCACTGTGTATCTGCATTGTGTGTTCTCTGAAATGGGAGTTGTACAGATTGCTTTGTGAGAAATAACCGTGTTACACTTCTTGAACATGTAGATATATCTGAAATGTCTGACTGACTGCTTAGTGGATGTTGCTATGGCTAACTGACTGACCTTTTTTTCTGTCTGTTTTCCCTTCCTGCTTACACACTCTGGACAGGACAATCTTTGTTCCCCTTCTGACATTCTTCAGCTAAACCTCAGCGTTAAAAGAACAGTTGAGACTCTTCTTTCCCTGGGGACAGATTCAGAAGAATCCAGTCTTCTCTCCCTTTCTATTCAGCTCTGGGGCTTTGTGGTGTTTTACTGTACTCTGATGCTAATGCTCTGTATGGTCTATCGCTGGGTCTTTTTCCTCTAGCTGAGGGACAGTGCTGCTGTTTCCTCCCTGCATCACTCCAGTTCTCTGTAAAGGATTTTGGGTTTTGTCAAGACCACGTGTGCAAAGTGCTCTTTCTCACTTATGGGAAAGAAGTAACGGAGGTGACAAATGCAGTGTGTAAACACGTTGGTGCATCCACACAACCATCTGTGACAGAACTCACGTTTGTATTTGCTGTGTGATGTTGAGCAGATGTAATGCTAGGGGAGGAGATGCTGTCTGTGGGCTGAGCTTTAGGGACACGTAGGTGCGTGCTATAGGCTGACTGCTGGTGAGGGATCCAGCACTAGGAAAACTGCACTGTCAGTTTGTGCCTCAGTTTCCCTGTCTGTATAATTAGAACTGAACCCAGTGTGGTAAATTGCTTCAGGATTATCTGATGAAAGAGGTGTTAAACAACACAAAGTATTCTGAACATCAGTGACCTTGATTAGCTCTCACAGTCTTAGGAGACGTGGCCTGATAAGTTTTGTCCACAAGATCTTGGGATTTCTTTTTCAGATCCCAGCTCTTTTTCAGATCCCAGCTCTTATCCCTGCTTCTGAGAGAATTTGACTTTCCTTTTGATAGACTGCCATGTTTTATGTATGAGTCAGGGGTTTTAAAATAGCTGTCCATGAATCCTGAGCTTCTTGAGCTTCATAACAGATCAAAGAAGATTTGCAAAGAAATTGAACTCTCTGAGCAGCTCTGAAAGAAAACATTTCTGGCACAGAAGGAAAAATCCTTTGGGTTCTATCAGATGCCACAGGATTGCCATAGCATTTCGCTGTGCCCTGGATAAAACTTAACAAAGATTTCCTGAGTTGCCACTTGATTGTGGTTATTTTCAGAAACTTTGGTATCACACAGTTGCAGAAATACACAACCTGGCTGTGTGTTCAGCTCCCTCTTTACTGTTACACAAATCTCAGGTAGTCTTCTGCACAGCTTTAAAGCTGTTTCCTCCTCTGGAAAAGCATCCTGGTGCTTTATTGTGTTTCTCAGGGACACCTCAGGACTTGAGGGCACTTCCCATGCCACGTGCAAAAGGCCACGTCTCCTCAGAGTGTAGGCTGGTTCAGGGAGCTCTGATCAGAGGTCAGATGCAGGTAAGTGCTAAGTAACAGGCCTGTTCTGAATGTGACTTCAGTGCCTGTTCGTTATACCCGAAAATGCAGTCAGTAAGCCCTGGTTAAGTGGTGATGGCACTCCTGCGTTAACCTGGCAACAACTCTGAAGCACAATTTAAGATACACAGAAGTTCAGCTGCAAATATTGTCACTACCAGTTGTGTACGTGGATCTCACAAGCTCTTGTAACATAAAGTGAATATTTAGCAAAGGAGCAAGCGGAGGAGCTGATGCCCTCTTCCCAAACCACACTGTGACTGGCACAAAACATTCTGCCCAAGCAAAACATTATTGAGGAAAGAGGGGACCTTTGGTGGGAGGGTGTTTGTTTTTAAATAAGCTATTTTTGCACTGTTTACTGGTGTGAACTAAAATGAACTCTGTTCCTATGTTTCTTATCTTCTTCTAATGAACACTGTGATAAAAGCTGCCAGGGGTCTTACACTAACCGTGCCTTCCCGTTCTTTAGTCCTGTTTGCCACAGCTATTTCTGTGGTATGGATTCTTTCCAAAGCTTTTCCCCTTATCTATTTACATACCTAAGGAAAAAAAAAGAAAGAAATGATAATAAACACTTGTTCCAGTTTACAAGTATTTTCTCAAAAAGCACATTGTTTCAAAAGAACTGTTCTGCTGGAGGAGAAATGCATTTCAGTGGATCAGCTGCCTTCCCGCAGCGCTTTCGGCCTGGGCTGTTTCTCTCCACTCGGAGCTTTGTGGGAGGAGTGTTGGCTGCTGTTATTTATGCTGAAGGATTTCTTTAATATGGAGAATCAGTAAAGATGCAAAGAGTGGAGAAACGCAGGGTGCTGCGGAACTAGCTCGTGGAAAAAGAGTCTGTGTAGCTTTGTAGGAAGAACACAGCTTGGTTATTTTTCTAGAGGTATGGAGGACTGCTGGGCATGCATGTCCCTGGATGACTGCTGTGGGCTGAGCGTGGCCCCCCTGTGCCAAGGACTTGTGTAGGATGAGGCTTTAAATCCATCTGAGACTGAGAATAGCATAATTCTTAATAAACACTTTGAAACCTTTTTGCACTTTGTGTATTGCTCTTATTCTTCAGAATGATTTTGGAAGCTGCTGAAGCAGGGCTCCTGGCAGTAGTGACTCACATAACGCAGGAGGGATATTTGTCCTCAAACGTGCTGTTCATTTCTCATTGCCTTGAACAGGAGAAATGACGTTTTCTACATTTATGATCAAAGTTATTTCAATCAATCAGAAGCAACTTGTCTTTTCTTTTTTTCCTTTTCATAAAACAAATGGTGCTTTCTGCTTTCTTTTTTGTCCCTCCCAAGGAATTTATGTAACGATAAAGATCACGTTATCCATATGGACAGAAGGACTTCAGATGGGCAAGATCTCGTTAGGAGAATTGCTTTCAAACATGGCATTTCCCCGTAGACTTGTTGCATGGTGTATCCATGCTGTGCAGTACTATTTTGTTTTCTGCTTTAAAGTTGGGATTTGTTTGCATTTGGTACCAAAGCAAAGCTTGCTGCAGGAGGATTCCCTCAAAAAGCCAGTTGTGTTTTGGAAGGGAAGCCGTGCTACGACAGCAGTTCATCGTGTTGAAGCAGAGCTTTCTCCCTCCTTAAGTTAGCCTGATCTTGATGTCATAAACTCCTGCCATTTCCACACAGGCAGAAATAAAGGATTTTGCTGTTTCTTAATTCTCCCACAGTCCTTCAAATTCTCATCATTTGTTCTGTGTAGTGGCTGCTGAGTGAAAGTGTCCATCAGCCCAGGAGTAGACGTGTACACAGTTGTTATTTACAAGCAGAAGTTTCATTTCATACCTGTGTGTGTGCTGTCTGTAACGTTTCATTTTTCAGTTTCCTTTTCGGTTGAGTGTTTTTCATCCATTTTGTTTTTGTCTTTGTTTTGTTCCCCATTCAGGAGCAATTATGTTTGCCTCTCCATATTTTAGAAGAGAAGGGTTTGACACAGGTAGCTGTGACTGTGCAGGCGCTGCTGGAGCTGGCACCCCCAAAGCAGCAGCAGCTTCACCACTTGTCTGCTGTGTAAAGACCTCCGGGACTTTTGGGTTACCTTGGCTAAGCAGAAGGACGTCAAGACTTTACTGCCCGTGCAGTGCATCCAAACACACAGAGCTCTGTTCTAAGGAAACGAGTTTCCGTGATTCCTGACAGGAATGTTTTGCTTCGTTTTCTCCATTTTTTTTGGAGATCACCACAGTTTTCAATAACGTTTTGATTAGCGATAATTTTGCCCCCTACTGATGGTGGTGAGGAGGGCAGGGAGTTCCAGGGGCTGTTGGAGCCGGCTGTAGAAACTGACCTTGTAGGTGGAGGACATTGGTGTACAGTTGGGAAAGCTGTTCCTATAGGAATTCATTTCTTTAATTAAAAAAAGAAGAAAAAAAAGGTGGTTGCTGCAGTGGGCAGGAGGGGAATGAGACGTCATTCCTTCTCCATGGGGTTCAGAGTGAGTTTCTTTGCCTGGTGAGAACAGCAGCTCTTTCCATTTTATAAATATATATATTTTTAAAAGAATTGCAGCACAATCTTAACCAGTACAGTGTTTCATACTGGGGTCAGTCCTTATGCAGCTGTCACCTGTGTTGGCATATCCTCATTACTGACCATATGTAGGAAAAATAAAGGGGGTTTCCCTCTCCCCACCCAGAGGAAAAAATACTGCATGTTTTCTCCACAAGAAACATCTTGGTAAAAGATGCTAAACCAGAACTGTTTGAATTGACTGAGTAACGGTAGCATTTTTGCTGGATTTGTGTTCTGTTTGGGCTTCAAGGCATCTCTGTGAAAACCTGTGCAAGATCAGGGGGCTCCCACCTCCTCTCACCTCCCCTTCGAGCCCTGTGTGATGCATTTGGTTACTGGGTGGTTTTGTCACATGGCTGCCAAGAATCACATCTGCATTTCACTGCAGTGCATTGAGGTACAGCCTGCCATGCAAGTCAATAGGAAGCCATGCCCAGGTCATACGTTTGGTGGGGGCTGGAGCACCAGGTGCAGACATGCTGAGTGCCACCACTGCTGAGAAGTGCATCATTTTAGGAACACAAGGACCGAATTTCCACAGGTGGGCTGCATGTTGTCAAAGCAAAGTTTTACAAAAGGTGGCTTCTATCTGTGGGCTTGGCAGGGCTTTAAACCTTTGTTTATAGGGTTATGTAATTGTCAGGAGTTACTGCTGCAGTTTGTTGGATGGAAGGTTCTATTGTGGGTGTTCATATAGAGGGATGCACTGGTTTTACACAACTGCCATTACTTTCTTCCTCTTTCTTTAACATAAAAATGGAAGTTCAGTATACAGGAACAGGAGAGGCAGCAGGTGAATTTTGAATTACTCTTGGAAGTTAGTGTGCAAAGCACAGATGGGTAGCTCTCTGTGCTCTTGTGCCAGCAACAAGGCCAAGCTCTCTATCAGATCAATTACATCTTTTTTTTTTTTTTTTCCCCCTAAGAAGGAACTTGGAAAATGCAGTTCTCCACCCATCCAGTTCTTTTGCTAGTTCTGATCCAGCTGAAGCATCCCAGAACAGCTTGCCACTAACATGGGTTGCATGGGGTCTGAGACCAGCATCGTGCCTCAGAGGCTTATTGGAAGCAGAATACATCAAGAGTATTTTATAGGTATAAAGGAAGGAGGAGGAGTGAGGAATGGTGAGCTAAAAGCCATTCTCACTGCAGTGAACGTGCCACAGGGTCACTGGCAAAGACTGCTCTTAGCTGGATTTTTTCCCCTTTTGATTTGCAGCTTTGTTTCCAGTCTGTTTGCTCCATGTATGAGCATCAGGACCCTCCGTGATGGCTGCTGTATCGCTGTTTCACACAACAATTCCAGTTGCTCCTTATTGGCATTGGCTGATTGTGTTGCAGCTCACAAAGAACACATGAAAGGGATTTAAAACTGCACAGCTGAAAGGAGAAACCTTTTCAGTCCAACTAGCACGTTGCTCTGAGTTCTGCAAGAAATGAAAATGCCAGTAAGTTGCAATGTGTAGGGGAAGAGAGCAGCTCCGTGCAGGCTTTCCTCCCAAGTAGGTTTTATGTTTCACATAATTCCACTTGCAGGGATTGTTAGGAATTCTTAAAGGGTTACGTAAGTGTCAGGAGTTACTGCTGCAGTTTGTTGGATGGAAGGTTCTGCCATTCACAGCAAACATTGCAGCATAGCACAGATGTTTCTTGTGTCTCTCATGCACTTAGAAAGAGGAGGACACTGAATTGATATTAGTTTTAACATTAGGATTTAGGATTAGTTTTAACATTTGGATCATATGGGAGCATGTCACTTCTTACTAGCACTCATAGCCTATGGAGCTGTGGGGTGTTGTTTGCTTTAGTCCAGCTTCCAGCACTTACAGACAGTGAAACTTAACAGTATTCAGGTTGGTGGAAGTTTGACATTTCATTAATATGAGTTCATAGGAATTAATGGGTTGGGAGGTGGGGGGTCTGAGCTGCTAGAAATGGCCGTGTTTGTTGTCTGGTTAGGACAGCCACTCTGGGTTATAGGCAGCACACACACGTGGCAGCTGAGCCCACAGGAAAGCAGTGTCAGTGTGGCTGGGCAGGTGCACGTCCCATGCATCACCCCGATGTCACAAGCAGCAGCTCGCTCCGGCATTTCAGATGTTTGTGGCCACGTTAGGTTCACCTGCATGGCATTGTGTGTCCATGCTGGCAGATACTAAGTGTTGACCAGATGTTTAGGACAAAAATCCAAGCCTAAAGTTTCATCGCATGGTTTATTTAATGTGTTATACCAAAAAACAGTTCTGTTTTGCAGGCTAAATGGGATTTTTTAGTGTGTTTATGTGCAATTTTGTTGTGTATAAAATTCTATTTTGTGTTAAGAGGCAATTACCTTTCCTTTCTGGGGCTTTTGTGTTGGAGGATGTGGGAGGAATCCATCGGGGCGCTTTGTGTTTTGCTGGTGCTCATCCACCAGCTCTGTTGTGTCACCATCCTTCCTCAAACGATGGTGAGCACTGAGTTTGGGGCTCCACAATGTTACCCATCCAAAATCGAGTGGCACTGGCACTGAGGGGTCCCTCATAGCATTGACATGATGAGGTCAGAACAGTGGGGATTTGATTCTTCCCCTTGTGAAGGAGGGGACTTTGGTGACCTGGCTGAAATAAACCACAGAGAACTTTTCACATCACCGAGAGCTCCTCTGCCGTTTTCAGTTGTGACACAGTGGCAAATGGTTCTTTTTATCCTTCTATGACTATAAATGTTCCTTTGGAAAACTAAAAAAAAAAAAAGTGTTTTAGGAACAGAGGTCTTCTAAAGTGAATTTAGACATTAAAAAATCCTTTTGTATAGATATCGTGATGTTTTACAAAGCAATCTAATTTTGTTATTTCTGAAAGCAGTGTAAACGTGTAATTAATAAAGGATTTTAAGGCTTCATCCCATGCTGTACGTCTGTAAATACATTCCATAATTTCTATGTCTGTTAAATATAAATATGTTTGGATATTGTACACTTTATTTTAAATTGCCTGTATTCTGCCAGTAGTGTGAACTTCTAGCACATTAATAATATAAAAGGAAACCATGGGTAATTTGAAATAAAGTTTTAAGACCTACATGAACTATTCCGCCTGCCATTTTTGTTGTGTGAATGGGTGTCCCATCCTCTGTGTCAGGTGTGTATTCACCTTCCACCTCCTCACCTCATCCTGTCTTGGGTTCACTCTGCAGTTCGTAGCCATGCTGCACGCAGGCTGTGTGCACTCAGCTGCCCATTCAGCAGCTCCACAGAACTGCAGTCGGCTCTGATTCCTCACCGAGCCCCGTGAGACTCACCAGGAGAGCAGTGACTGAGACAGCAAACACAGCGGAGAAGCCTGAAGGAGCTGAATGGATGGCAGCATGAACAGAGCACAGGCAAGAGTGAGTGTGCTGTTCCAGGAGGGCGTGAGTTTGTGTGGGCTGGGGCAGGTTGAAAAACCTTACAGGCCTGTATCACCCAGTGGCCAGACTCGAGGTTTCTGCAGCCCTCAATGCTGGCATAGCAAACGTGGTTCTACTGTTGCTTTGAATATTTTTAAATTATTTTTGAAGAAAAGGTATCCCCTCCTCGTTACATGCAGGCATAGAGCTCGCTGATTTTGGAAGCAGGCTTTGCTGCGTCCATGCAGTTTGTGGGTTTGGGTGTTTGATTTCTGTTTGAGAGATTGGGCAGTGAAATTGAAGTTTTGAATTATTTCATGATTTGGTGCAGTGTTAACTTCCTACTGCCTCATTCTCTGCAGCTCTGGGCCCTTAAAGAACCCCAGGAGCTGCTCTGTTACCCTGAAATTGTGAACTGGGCTGCAGGGGAGCCCAGCAGAGGCTGAGGTTGATTTTTATGATTTACATTACATTTTGTTTGCTGAGCAGCAGGTGAAGACACAAGCCAATGTTGTGCTTCAGATTTCAGCTGTTTGCATTACTGAAGTGTGCCTAGAATTTAGCATAAACCAGAGAGAGACCATCCTTCCATTCTATACTTTTCCATTCTATACTTTTTCCTTAGTACCAGGAATAGGAGTGCATTCTGGTTTAACCAGCAGTGCTCCAGTAGTAATATCCATACTTCAACTTAGAGTTTGTCTAAAGCATCTGAAATGTCAGCACTCCCTTGACAGTCAGCTCAGCCCAGCAGCCAGGGGCTGGTGCCTGCCTTCCCTTCAGACGGAGTCCTGAGCCAAAGGCTCTTTGCTCGTGATCTCAGTCATCCTACTTGAACTTCAGAGCTTTTGGCACAGGTTAGCCTGGACACGAGGATGTTTGGATAGGGCCAGCAGAGGACGGTCACAAAAAGCACAGCTTGGTTTGTATGCTTTGAGCTCTCTTCTCTGTATAATTGTTAGAAACCAGCCAGCTCAGCCCCAGGGCTGATTTTGCTTTGCACACTGTATGTGGCTGACAGTAGTGTCAGAGAAAGGGCTGCCCTTTCAATTAATTAAAGCAGGACGTTGCACCCTGCCTGCTGCCTGGTCTCCCTGCACGGGTGTTGCAGACAGGATGGTGGGTATGGCTGTGGCACATCAGCTGTCTTTTTTCCATGGCTGCTTCCCTCTGTAGGAGGGCATTTAGAGCTATTCTGTCTATGTGCTGACACTCTGCAGTACTGTGGGAATGGAAACCTGCGTGCTTTGACTGCCCTCATGTTTACACTGCAAACCGTCAGCATTTTTCCCCCGGCTCGACCTAATGCTGCCACTGACACCAGGGCGAGCACTGCCTGAGCCCAGATGTGGGTGACCTGGCTTCCTGCCCCACTCAGAGCCGCCGGAGCCACAGCAAACCCCATTGCTTCAGCAACAGCGTGCTTTGGGGGACTGCGGAGGAGGTTCTCAGGGCAGAGCATCTCATGCTGGTGAGTTACTGAGCCGTTAGCAGAATTACTCGTTAGCTGTATAAAATACTTCAGAGGATATCATGTTTCTCGTTGCTTTAATGCAGTTTCCGTTTCTACTGAGGAAACTGTTTTTACTATACAAAGACTGTTCAGGGTCTTAAGTTACAGGAGCTTCACCTTAACTGTACATCATGAACTCCGTTCTCTAGAATAGCCTGAGTTCTATTCCATGGTTTATTTTGTGCTGCTGGACACAGCAGTGCCTTACCCAGCAGCAGCCCTGGAGTACTGGCCACATTTCTTAGCGTGTCTTTTTCTTTGCTGCAGGTTTTTCCTTTTTGCCTTTCACATTTAACAGAATCTTCTCTTGAGCCTTCCGGAGGTTCTGATAGGGACCAAGGTTTCTGCGGACCATTGTACCTTTCCACCACGCCTGCAGCTGGAAGCAGGAGAGAGAGATCTCAGGGGGAGCACTGGTACAGGAAAATGACAGGAGCATCTCCTGCACTCCCCAGCTACAGGAGGGAACCTCTGGCCCATGCTGCAGCAGCCTACGTTCATGTGAGCCAAAGGCATCTGTTGCTGGTGGCAAGAGGAAGGGAGCAGCTCTGTGACTCCATTCCTGTGTCACCCATGCAGAGGGGCTGCTGTAATGAGCACAGCCCCAGATCATCTGAAGAGACTGGCTTTTTGTCTTTTGTTCCCTTCTTAACCCTTCTGCAGATAGCTGCTGCCTTTGTCTTTGCCCCAGGAAAAGAGACAAGTTTAATCTGGCTGGATGTGGCTCTTGTCAGCCTGGTCTAGTGGTTGGTGACCCTGCCCGTGGCAGGGGGACTGAAATAAGGTGATCATTATGGTCCTTTTGAACCCAGGCCATTCTGTGATTCTATGAATCTGTCCCTCGCTTGTGCCACCTCACACCAGCCAACATTCTCAGGCCATTTTCTGCTTGAACAATACCTGTGGTGCAAATAATTAACTCCAAGCTGCTGGTGGAACAGCACTGTCTCAGCTTTGGTCCCCTTTACCTTCAGGATGCTCTTCAGCTCCAGGGCATCCTGCTCTCGTTTTCGTCTTTCAGCCTCTTTTTGTGCCCGGTCAGCGATGATGGTTTCCTCAAATGTCCAGCACTGCAGAGTGGCACAAGAGTTCAGCAGTCACATGAAAAACACATCCAGGGAGCACCGGGAGCCCTGTGGCAGCCCACGGGTAATGGGTAAACACAGACCTTCCTCCCCCACCTCCTTTATTTGATCTTCCCTGAATCCAGATGGCAAATGTTGCTCATTACCACCACCAGTCCTAAGGCACTCAGAGCTGCTGCCAAAGTGAAACTGCTCATGGCCTGTGTGTAATTAACCTTCTGATCCTGTGCTGTAAAATGGCTATCTGATGGGGTCTCAGGCAACAGATGTTGGTAGGAAGGATCCATGTTCCCCCAGGATAGGTAGCAGATGATGAGTGAAAACACTTGGGACATTGAGATGACAGCATACAGAATGAAAATGGAGCCCACAAGCAGGGGAACATCTAACTCAGTCTCAGCTTCTCAGACCAGTGACAATAAGGAATGCCTACAACTGAATTTTTTCTAGCTCCCCCTTTTTCTAGACACTTTGCTCTGTGCTGCCTGCTCCACCCTGCCTGTGTACCTGCAATCAGAGTCCTGCAGTTGACGGAACGAAAAAGGTAGGATGCAGTTTTGCATGGGTGAGCACTGAGCTGCTGCTGCTGCCTTACCTCACTGGCAAATCTCTGCAGCATTTCCAGGTTCTTTGCCTTTGATTCTTTTAGGGCGTTGAGTTCTTTATCTTTAGCGTCCGTGTCATTTTCATGCTTGTCCACCCAGTATTCCAGCTTTTCTTCCACCTTCTGCAATGGGACAGAGTGGGGCTTAGCAGGGTACAAAGAGTGGCAGGGGAAAGGTTTACTGCTGCGATATGCCTGCTCTCAGGATGGTGGTAAGAATCCCATCAAATCTGCAGGGTTTGTGTTTCCTTCTCACCTAACCCTGAAAGGATCACAACACTAGGAGTAATGATAACTTGCTGGGGACCACCGTGGGGGCAGCAGCACTGGACTGGGTATGAAGACAGACTAGATTGGGCTTTCAGAGGTGCATGAAGAATGGCGGTGCACTGGGGGTTACATCTGTGCACAATCCTGGTGAAGTGAATGACAACCAGAAGCCATTCTTCATGTGTGTGCACAGGAAAAGGAGTTTAGGAGACAGTATTTCATAGTGTGAGAGCTTTTATCCTGCACGTGGCTCTCTGGTCACATTCTGGGTTAAACTTAGTGCACTAGCAATAAGATCCCAAGGGAGAGCAGTTTGTGCTTTCTCAGGTTGTGAACTTGGCTTTGTTTCACTCATTAATAGGATGGCAGGTGTTTCTGGAACCACCACACTTCCTCCCATTCATGACTAACTTCACCATAGCAACAGCCATCACTGCTTGAATGGAAAAATAATCTGAGGAAAAGCATCAATCTTGTGACAGCATCACAGCTGGACGTACAAGGGAGATGGAGGACATGGTCATCTGTGTGGGCCACTGCAAAGCCACCTGCTGCTGTCTGAGTGCAGAGAGGTTTGTACTCAGGAAGTCCCCTCACTTTGAAGCAGTGATCAAACTGTGGTTCTGGGATATAGAGATCACAGTTTAACTGCTTTGAAGACGCAGCATTTTTTTTGCACTTTGTTAAAAATTCTGTACTCTTTTCTTAAATTACAAACAGGCAGTGATGATGGATACCCTGCAATAGTACAGGTTTTCTTCTGGTCATACGGTTTGTGAGATGCTCACCAATGGTATTCACTGTTATGAGCTCTGCTGTTGATCATGGGAAAGCTCTGAACCGTTGCATCAACAGCAGAGGGACAGTTGTGGTTGTTTGCTGCTCAAGTCAGGTACAATAATCATGAGTTAGCAATTATCCAAGCCTGGTTCATCCTTAGATTAAGAAAAGGCATAATTAGGCTGGCAGTTTCTGACCTTTCTTTCTTAATGTTCCCACTTGGGTGTGCAAAATGGACACCCTAACTTGGCGCACTCCTCACTGAGTTGCTGGAAATCCCAGCTACTGCCAGAGATGGTTTAAACAAAATCCCTATTAGTTGAATGCAGCTGAGGGAAGGAAAACCTGTAACTCTGGAGTAAACAATGCCAGTCACTATGAACAGTAATTTTAAGGCAACGTATCCAAATGTACCAAATCACAAATATGGGACAGCTGGGTTAATTAGGGCTTGAGGGGAAGTAGTAATCCAACCAGCAACCATCAGGAACTTGGTGAGTTTGATGGAGCAATAATTGGTTTTCTTTAGAAACTAATCAATGTAATGTTTATCGGGTGCCAGTTTAAGCATTAACAGGAAAAGTCACACAGACCTTGTAGTAATGCCTGAGGAAATTTTCAATCTCCATGTGCACTCGGATCTCCTCATCAGTTTTCCTCTTCAAATCCTATGATCAACGCAGACAGAAAAATGTTAGATAATGTTGGTCCAAATACATGTGCACAACATGCATGATGGTTGGCTTTCCTGATGCATTCAAACATCTGTGTTGTGATGGTGATGAGAGCAGCCTGGGCATCAGGGGATGGAGGGAGGACTCGGGCAGCTTCTCACAGCACTGCCAGCAAATAACTGCATGAAATGTTCACAGTTCACGTAATGCAAGGGAAGAGGAATGGCTTCACGATTCTGCTTCCTGCTGTGGCACTTACCAGTTCTCCTGTTGCTGGGCAGTTCTCAAATGCAAGTGGAGCATGAACTTTCAGCATTAAAATGAATAGGAAAGAATATATTTTAGAACAAATCCATTTAGCTTGAAATCACCTTTAAAGGAACCAAATTCCTTCGCCTCATGTTTCCTGTTTGGGACCTGATACAGAAAGTATTGCATCCATGTGACGGTTCCAGGAGCAGACAACATCCTGTCATCATCTAAACCCTCTGATTAAGCATTCCTCCAGGTAAGCAGCACCCAGGACAGCCACCTCGCTGTGCAGAGGACAGACAGTGGCTCTGGTGAGTTATTTTTTCCATTTCTTCAGTGATTGGTTTTTTTCAATAAAAAGGTTCATTTTCCATCCCATTCCCACAGATCTGAAGAAATGCTGCCTGTGCAGCTCACCATGCTTCAGCTGTAATTCCAAGGGACAAGGATGCTTGTGGTTTTAGAGAAAAAGGATGACGTGATGTAACAGTGGGGCACCAGAAAGAAAGCAGAGGCAGTGCCAGAACCCTACGAGAGGAAGATCTTGCTAAGCAAGGATTGTTCCCAGCATAGTGCTGAGTCCTTCTCTCCTCACCTACACACAATCTGCTGAGTTGACTTTTCCCTTGCAGTTGGAGATGCTTTTCAGTAAGGGCTCAGGGGAATGGTTTACCTCAATTTCCTTGTTCAGTCTGTTCTCTGCATTGCTGCACTTCTTCTGCACTTGGTGCACCTGGAGGTCTGTGCTTTTCTTCACGTAGCGGTGCTCCATGGCTGCTTTGGCTTCCATCTGTTGAAGCTCATTTTTGAGGTAGAGAATCACTTTATCTCGGTTCTAGGGGAGGAGACAGTAAGCAAAAGAAGCATGAGAACGGTCCAGTAATTTCAGCCACTGAGGTCAGGCTTTGCTAAATCCTTGGATTAGTCTAAGTGAGTGAGTGCCTGTAACAGGAGAGTAATACCTCAGCCTCACATATGCTGAAGTTTTGTTTCCTCAAGTATACTTTGTTCCTTGAATTTGGACTTTGCTATTTTGTTTTGTTTTGTTTTTTTTCCCTAGTTCTGCAGCAACTGTATAAACACAGCATTAGGAGCAGATAAAAATGTAAATCTCAACTCACTCATATGTTTCACTGGTTCTTTCTTGAAATCTTATCAAGTAGATGGTGTCATTTTTTTATAAGAGCATTCAGTCAGAGCAAGGATTGCCAAGGAGAGCTGGTTCTGAGCTCCCAGCCTCTCTCCACACCTTGTTTTGCATGGACCTGAGCTTTTCTGGAACAGCTCTGTCTCCAGCAGCAACTCCACAGACAGGACTGCTGGGTCAGTGCACCCCATTTGTCAGCTCTGTGTGCATGCTCAGGAAGTGCATTTGCTTGATTCGGGACTGTGAGTTTGTTTACTCCTTTTTAATCAATTTCTTTGAATAGCAATTAAAAGTTCATTAAATCTAGGCCTGCAACTTGGATGAACCTCCTGTAAAATGTAGAACTGCACTGTGAGTTAAAAAGGTCATCAAAGTCTCCTGTGCAATTATGCAAGACCAGCCGTAATGCCTCTGATCTAGCTCCCAGTTGCTTCATTACAGCCTTTCTCTTTGCTTTCCTGCCACGCTGTGATGGGTTTGATGCTCAGCAGCCAAACCTTGCAGCTGAAGATGAAATACCAAAGTGCTGGCATGTATGTAGTTTGAAGCCCACATATCTTGTCTCTGAAGCACCCTTGCGTTCCTTAACAGTGTAAACATGGAAAAATGCCACAGGAAGAAGCCAGCTCAGTACTGCTATGTTTAAAAGCTTTTTGCAGCATGACTCATTTGGAAAGGTTTCCTTATAAGAAGAGTTTGGAACAGCTAAAAGGAAAATCCTTCCTCTGCACCCCTTGTAGGACATAGTTAGGAAGAGTAAAGTGTATTTATAAGGCTTCTGAAAATTAGAGGCCTTGGCTGATGCTGTTTGGTGGTTTTCAAAGTCATGAGTTCAAAATATTTTGAAGATTTCCAAGATCAGATCTTTTTTTACAGCCGTATCATCATATGACTGCAGACAGCTACAGACATGACCTGTTCATGCCCCATTAAGGTTTCCGGTAATGGCTTTTATTTTCCTTGATGTGAAATTTGGTGGGTGCTGGGAGCAGTTGTGTTCCTACTCAGCAGACGTGGGAGGTGACCAAAGCATTTATCTTAGGCTGCCTTGCTGTATTGTGGTGGAAGCATGTCTAAATTGCAGGGCTGGCAGAGAGATCAAGGAGATGCTCAAGGAAAACACCAGTGTTTTGTGGCCCTGAGGCTCAGCTGCTGAAGTCAGTGCTGAAGTGCTATCTGTGAAGGGTCTGGAAACAGGTCAGAAAAGAAGGGTTCGATGTAGGCTACAAAGAATTCAGGGAGGTGGGGCAGAGCATGAAGACTATTTTTTATTTCTTATTTTGATGAAACGGAGGGAAAACCACTTTTGATTTCAGAGCCCCAGGCCTCAGTCAGGAAGGGGGCCCGTCTGCTCTGTTTTCTTTGTTGCATGGCATGTTTGTGGTTTGGATTTGGTGTTACAAAACATCTTCATTAGAAATGGGGAGTGTGGGGGCTTGATTACACAATGCAAAGCAGACGGGAAGCGAAATGCAAAACCCTGTGGGTGTTTACAGAAATGCATTCACTTGGAGGGAAAGTCGGCTGCAGGCATGTGGGCAGCTACTGCAGCCCAGCTGATGGGCCTGGAGCTGCAGGGCTGGGGTGTGTTGGGTGTTAGGTTGCACATAGCAAATGCAGCTGCTGCCCCCAGCCCATGGAAACCACCCGTGGGTTGTGCTGTGCCCTGAACTTCAGGGGCAGGCACTGGGAAAAAGAGTTAACATCAATTCATTTCTGGTTTATCACAGCAAAGGGCCCTACCAGGACACAGCTTTCACAGCTAATGCAGTAAACCTCTGGGCTGCTTATTTGAGATGACTTCAGCTTTGAATGTGCCAAACTAGCAATGTAAAATCATAAATCATGTGTCCAGAACTATCACAAAACTGGCAGAGAGCAAGATCAAAACCCAGGAAATAGTTGTTACGAGCCAGTCTGCTCTGCTAGCAGGCAAACAAGCTGTTCTCTCAGATCTCTCAGCTCACAGACACCAGCTCAGAGGCCTGTCTGCTGCTGTTAGCCAGCACCATACAATTCTGACCAAAAAACGTTGTTTGGTGGCAAAAGCAGCAGTACTTTGCTGGAGAAGGTATGCATATTTTGTATTTTTACTTACTTTTGTTTATCTCCTGCAAGTGCCCCCTAGATCTCTCTGTTCTTCCACAGCAATGAGCATTTGCAGTCACTTAAAATGCAGCTGGCTACAAAATTAACAAACAGGAGCTATGTGCTGGCAGCTGGTGAGCCTGCAATGTGCCCTGCTGCCTGCCTCCCTGCTTCCATACAGAGTGTGGATGAACTTTCCACTGGCAGCTGTAAAACCTTAGCCTGCAAAGCCTGAAGATATGCTTAGATCTACACACCTGCTGCAGACAGGACTTGCAGCCCCTGAAAGCACAGCATACAGCCCTACAGACACGTCTGTCCCAGCTGCCAGAACACCCCTGTGCTGCACCCCCCCAGAGATGCTTCAGCTGAAAGGACGACAGGGCTGACAGGTCGCCCAGCCTCCCCATGTGATGATTTGTAATGTCCATCTTCATTGCAGGGGAGAGGAACTAGATGGCGTTGAAGGGTCCAGGTATGGCTCTATTGCAGCAGCTCTGCATCCTGCTGAGCTGCTCTGGGGGCTGACTTGGCCCCAGGACCATCACAGACCTCCTGCCTTCCACTGTAGTCGTCTGGTACATTTCTCCAGTGTAAACACAGAGCAGTGTATGGGTATGAGTTTACCACAAAACCTACAGGTCATAAAAAGTGTCTGAGTGAATAGCAATGCAAGAATTTAAAAGGTAACATCTCTTAAGTTTTTCTTCTAAACATTATCTTATCCAATGTCAACATTTTTCAAAGTCTGTACAGGTCATCACTGCTCCAAGAAACCTGCATGTTTTTCTGCATGTTAGAAAATAAACACTGTAGCAGTAAACAGAATTCCTGCAGCCAAGTGACACGGAGGGGTAAGCATAAAATCAGACTGTTCATCTCAGCAGCTTTCGAGACAACAGTGTTTTCCAAAAGGAAACAAAATAAGTGAAAACATTTAGCATTTGATTTGTTTTCTATTAGAAAGAAAAATGAGCTGAGCCAGCTAATACAGCTTTAATTAGCATCTCATTAAAAAATAGCAAGGCTGAAAATACACACTAGCAACATGCATGAAGCAAAGACCACGTTTTTCTGGTTCCATGATGAGATTTGCTTGGTTTTGTGTTCTCAGCCACTGGACTGGAGACAACCATTGTAGGCTTTTGTCTACAGGCCTATGTATTATTATTGTTCAAAATACTCCAAAATTAGCAAGCTGTATTTCTGCTCCTAATTGGTTGGCGAGGTGACAAATCCTGCAAGTGTCTGTAAAATTGCCTATGGGAAAATCCCATATGAAGCAAATAGAAATTATTCTCCCTTAGGAGACAGAGTGAGACACCATTATTTTTGGCACAGGAGGAAAGCAGTACTTGAAAGTAGTCTTGTCTTTGATTTGTTATCAAAGCTGAAGCTATAAGGAAGCCCAGGAAAAGACTTTTAAGCTGGAAACATAAAACCAAAATCCAGATGGGTGCAGATCCCATTTGATGAGGTTAAAAGCAAGAATCAAATTAGCAGAAGGTACTAAAAGGACACAGAGAGGAGCATGTCCTCAGCGTGGGACCTACACACATTTGTATGACTGTTAGAGCTAGGAGAGGTGCAAGGCAGGATGAACACCAAGGCTGACCGTGCAGTGCCAGGATGGGTTTGAATCTGTAGGGAGAAAAATAGCACACACCAAAAAAAAAAGAGCACTTCATCCCTCATTCCTCTTTCAGTTTCCATAACTGTTCTTTCTTGGTATTCCTCCTAACTTGCTATCTTTCCACATCTGTCTGTGACTCCTTTCTCTTTTCTGTTATGTCCACAGTTTATTTCTAGTGCTCTTTTCATCCTGCTACATTTCCCAGTGTACATTCCACATTTCCAAGATCTCTGCTGGTACGTGAGGGCTGACGGAAGTTAGTTTTCCAATCTTGTACATTCCTGCTTTCTTCTCTCCTGTTCTGTTTTAATATTTCCTCTGGACTTCTGGTGCACATAGATAGCTGTACATATTACCAGTGTCAATAGATCCATCCTGTTTTTAGAACCATCCAGTTATTTACAATTAAACCTTCCACTACACATGCATCCAGGCTGCCAACATAAAACCTTCATCTTCTATAAACCGTACTTCAGCAGCTTGAAATTCCTCTGTGCAGCCAAATGTTTATTGGCTTGTTGGCCACTCTTCTGTCCAAGGACAAAATTCTTAGTGATAGAGTGTCTTTCTTCAGATGCCCTTGCTTACCTCTTCCTCTGTAATGAACCAAGTGCCAAATTCTTTCTTTCTTTCTTTCAAGCCTTGTATAGTTCTGACCTTGACTTTCTTTTGCTTGCTTTTCATCACACTCTTTTTCTCACCTCAGCAAAAACAGGATAAACTTGCATGTTTCTTCACTGTGCTGTGTGCTTTTCCTCTTTAAGCATGCATGACCATCGGGTCTGAGCTGTCTGGTAAGCATCACAGTGACCAGGGATGTGCCATTTAATTGATCTGCACTTGTGCAGCACGTCTGATGTGTCCAGAATGCCCCTGATCTACTGTGCATGCACAGACAATTCACATGCTGCAGACAGAAAGGCTGAAGCTTTCCGTACAAATAAAGTTGATGGGGTGTGTGTAGTAACATTGATCTGCCTTTGCATAGGGCTTGTGTATTTGGGATTTTGTTATATGTGGAAGACTAGGAAATAGATGAAAATTATGATATTTTCCCCTGGCAAAACTGCAGGTAGAAAAATGGCATGTCCTTATGCCTGTTCTGACACTTTTTTTCTTAATCCCTCACTGTCAGTCTTTCTTCTGAGCTTGGTGTCATGTCTGCATCATTAAGTATGACAGAACCTTAGATCCTGCTGTCTGCAGCTAATCTCTTCCTGGCTGCAGATGTAGCAGCACTCACTCATGTCCATGCTTTACAGTGTTTTTGCACAGCACTGTTTCTGAGGTGTTCTGACTTCATCAGAGCCTTTCACAGTTATAAGCACTTTGAGTTTCTGCTTGAATACCATTGAACAGAATTCTTAAATTCATTAATAACTATATTCAGACTATAAATCTGTGTTGCAGTTATTCTGCTTCTATATTCTTAAATGATAAATTGCTACATATGCTGTGTCCTCTCATCTGAGTGCTAGTTCCTGGGCAGCAGGAGCAAGCTTGCTAACACACTTCCCCTGGCATGATGCCCAGCGTTAAGTAATCTCACCTGAAGTTCTATTTCAGTTTCTTTCTTGACATCTTGCAGCTGTTTCTGGAGTGACTTTATCTCTTTCTTTCCTTCCTCTTCCCTGAAGGAAAATGGGAGAATACAGTTATTTGAATATATCAAGAAAAACAAGACCTGTTTACCTAGATAGAGAATTTTCAGACTCCTTATACATTGCTGCACCTAGCTGAGCACTGCCCCAATTAACCTGCTCACTCAGTGAGTTTGTTAGAACTGAACTAAAAGAAGTGAAAAGTTTGCCCTGCTTCAGTGCAGCATAAAAGCTTGCAGCTGCTTACAGTGTTTGAGGAATAGAAAAGGCATTCATTTCTTTGTTCTGAACTTCAGTGTTGAAAGCAGTACATCTTCAGGTCAGAGAGATATCTCACCAAAGCTAGTAACTTCTTGGTAAGTAACTCCTGAAAGAAGGGATGTATGGATTGAGCAGGGAGGATGGGAATAAAAGGGAAAGTGAACCAGAAACCTAAAGAACCAAGCCAAAACCTACAGGGGTGTTTAACAGTTTAAAGCAAAAAGGATGCAATAATATTGTAGGTCTCATTATTTTACTTTCTTTTGAGGGCTTTCCCAAGCTTTTATGCTTATCGTTTGATCTAAAACCAGTAAGAAGAATTGCTGCCTGAAGCTTTGTACCCTGTCCCCACTTTACAGTCAAACATGCATTTCATTTTTGGAGTACTTAGCTGGGTAACTCTACTACAGAAGTTCCTGATAAGGAGTCCCAGCCCTATTGCAGACTGCTTTCAGACTAGTATATTGACACAAAACCTGACAAGTATATGGTATATTTAAATACAGATCAAGTTTATTCAATGAAAGGAATGTATAATAGAACAGATAACACAGTGCTTAGATATGGTTGATAAAATGGAATAAAAATGATTATTTCCTTAGTGATGATAAGTTGTATGCCCCTTTCTAACTCTAGTGTTGACTAGTGATTCCACAATCAACTGCTGCTTTTATTTTTTGCTTTCTGACCCTTCCTTGGAGAAACAATAAATCCCTTAGTTTTAGACGATGGAAGAGGTGGCTTTTGTGTTCAAAAGACAATTGCCTCTGCCACCATCTGTGCTAGCCCTGCATTGGAAAAAGGGAGCACATTAGCATTTGGGTCAAAGCAGATCCTCCTGGGCATCGTATAACCTCAAGTCCGTATGTTGCTGACCCTGGCTTGAACAGATTATTTGCTACTCTGGCTTCCTCTGGGGACAAGGAGTTGAAGGTCAGAAAAGTCCTACATCACATTATGTTTTAATTGATATGGAGCAGCATTTGCATTAATGCAGACACTGGTGTCCAGTGTGGTCCAAGCTCAGGCAATTCCCAGGTCAGATTAGTATCAGTAGTAGTATCAGTTATTTCTCTCTCCAAGGGCAAATGCAATTTGTAAAGTACTCAGGACAATTCAAGCTGAAAAAGAATCCTTTCCATATCTTGATTTAGGATTTGTTTTTGTTTTCCTTTTGTATTGTGTAATGAGGAAAAATGGGCTTTGGCTCCAAACCACTAATCAGAAAAGTACAGAACACAACTCTGACCTGATGAGGATGTCATTCAAGTTGCTTTTCTTTGCCTTCTCTCTCCCATTAGCTTCTATTAGGCTATCAAATGTTCCTGATTCCTCCATCTTCTTCATAGTGGCTGTAATTACATCACTTGCATACTGCCTGCCAGAGAGAAAATGAACACAGCAGTAATTTATAGGTGTACACTGATACCACAGTGTCTGCCACCTTTATCAGTTATTGTTTAAAAAAAAAAAAAAAAAAAAAAGGAAATGCAAGATCCCATTTCTGTTCTTATGACTTAGCAAACCCAAGTGTGCCTCTCCCATGGCACTTGCTGCTTCCAGCTCTACAAAACTATGTATCTGGAAGATGGTCCAAGTTTATAACTTCAAATTGTGGTCTGAATGTTACTCCAGGAAATAGTGAAGAGGTGAAGATGTACCCATGTTGTGCCAGCTTGTGCTGCCATCAGGAAAAAGGCTGCAGCAGTAATGGCAGCTAGATGGATCTTGGAAGATGAGATTTGGGGACAAAGATGTGTTTACGGAGGGGCATCTGGATGCCAAAACATCCTGGTGCAGCCCTAAGACAATCCTAACAAAGATGTGGGCTTGCCCAAGTTGTTGAATTTCATGGTGCATATGGTATTTATATTTCAGCTGTATTTTCCTCATTTGTGTCAGGATTTTCTTGAAACTCTTTGTTAAAACATTAGTGGACAGAAGCCAGGATGTAGAAAAATGCGTACAGAATGCTCAGCTCCCCAGTCTGTCTTTTAAATCAAAGGCTGCTGGTATTTCTGCAAATCGAGGCACTTGATTTAGAGCAAAAATGAAAATGATTTGGAAAAAAAACCAAAACTTATTTTGGTTTTATTTTTTAAAGACATTGATTGTTCTATAAAGGAGAATGGTTCTAGCTGCCATAGAGGTTCCATGTGCCCTACAGAATAACTGAGTTCATGAAACAACTCTCAGACCCAGCCTTGACAGTTCATATCTGCCAGGGATCCTGACTCCCTGCACCAGTACCTCAGCACTGACTGCATCCTGGGATAAATTCTACTCAAACAGCCATTATCAAATGGGTCATGTTTCACAGCCACGTACAAAGTAAGCTCATTGTGAGTACTTGGCATTCAGAGGCAAGCAGGAGTCAGAACTAAATAGTCTCTGAGGCCAGACCCCAGTGCTCTCTTTAGAAATAGTCATTCTAGATCATGACTGGGTAACACCAGCAGTGGGAGAGTGGGAAGCCTTTATTTTGCTTTGCAAAGATAGAGTGAGAACTTCACAGCTGTGAGCATCTCCCACAGGCATCACACTTGTGATTCACTCACCTGTCAGCCTGAATTTTTCTGAGATCATCTGCGGACAGAACACTGGGTTTCATGACCCTTGTGGAAAGATGATGGGCTCTTTTTGGATCCTCAGAATTCCCCAGCTGCTGCTTATGTTCAATGCTTTTCAGAGACTTCGAGGTAACAGTTTCCCCCCTCCCTTGCCTTGCAGATGTAAGCTCTTGATATTTAATGTCCAGCACATTCTGGGTGTCTGTGATTTCTTTCATTTTCTGGCTGTTGATCTAAAAAAGAGAAACCTGCTTGCACATTGAGCAGTAAGAACAGACCCTCTGCAGCTTTATGTGGGAGGAAGAAGAATTAATAATAAACAAGAACCACCTATACTACGAACAGTTGATGATTCTACAAAGAACCGAATAGCAGAAACTTTCATCTAGGTTAGATTTGAGCACCAAATTTAGGCTTATTGAAGCTGATGGGATCAAAAGGCCAAAAGTGACAGAACTAGAAAAGGCCTCAGAAGGTCAGTTCACCTGATGATTCAGAGGTTTGACTGATACATTCTTAAAGACCCCCAGCCACGGAGACTATATGCCCTCCAGTCAGTACCAGCATGCCACCCTTGTAAGGAAGCTATTTCTGAAACTTCAGCAACTGAGCCACTGACTTCTTGTCCCAGTCTCTGTAGACACAGAAAAAAAAGTCTTCCTTCCTTCTTTGCAGCAGCTTTTATGTACAGGAAGCTTGTTAGTCTGTTTCTCCTCAGCCTTTTCCCTATCTCAGCTTGTCTTAGCCCTGCCTGTCACCAAGGCCTTTGCTTACAGTGTAGTTGTTATAACAAGAGCTGATCTTAGCCTGTCACTAAGTACTTAATAGCAGTACCACCAGAGCCAACTAATGCAGAGGCTTCCAGCCTCATTCTAGTCCATAGCTGCCTACTGCCCACCCTGGCTGCTTGTGAAATGGAAAAAAGAACTCACTGACAGGAAACATTTTCCAGCAAGAAAAGAAAAAATAATTATATTTTTAGCAGTCCAGATCACTGCACAACCACACAAATGTTTGTGCCAACACAGCACAGAGGGCAGAGTGAAAACAAGAGGTCAGAGCAGGAACAGTGTATGCTAGCAGTAATTCCAAGAAGGCCCTGATGGAGAAAGGCTCCGTTCGTGTTCTGAGGTCCTGCTTGTGGTCAGTGGGGACAGTGTGCAGGGCACTGCAAAAGGCTGATGCTCCTGAATGCAGCGTACAGCTCAGGAGGGGAGGAAGCAGCCCCTGGACTGCATGACTCACCACTGAGTACAGAAGGAGACTGAGTGACTCCATGCTTAATTTTTGGACAGTTAAATTTACATGACATGAATTTCATGCAAAGTATACGGAGACCTATGAAAATTACGTGGTTAATTATGAGGAAGAAAAAGGGGTTTAAATAGTTTGATGGTGAAGGCTGTATTTCTGAAATAACTATTCTAGGCAAACAAATAGCTTTAATATCATGTAGATTTTATGGATGCTGTAATAGGTGTTTGTAATGTCTGGGAAAGCTCAAGACAAGCTATAACTGGATTATCTGTAAACAGTAGAAATTAAGCACTAATAATTGCCAAAGAACTGCAGGAGAGCAAGGAGACTGTAAATTGCATGTGGTGCCATCCATGCAGTCCTTAGCTGTTTATCTTTTGCTGGTCTTTTGCCCCAAATCTAGCAGACAGAAAGGCTGCTTCCTCTGGGGAATGCACTGCATGAAGCAGTCTACAAGAGTCCCTGATTTAGGAACAAGCAGCACTGTGACTAAGGCTCTAAAAAATGCCAGCACTTGAATATGTCAGTATATGAAATGTCAATCAGTGAAAATGCCCCAGATCTTTTGGACTGACAGAGCTCGAGTAGCATGAAGGATGCTTTGCAAACACAGGACTTCTACAAATGCAGTGACAACAGATAACTGTAAACTGAGAATAGGGACAAGTAGTGAATTACAGAACACCAGAGTTAACAAGTAACTTCCCCAGAGCCATTTTCTGCTTTCTAAACTGTTTTCTCCTTGATCTGTATTTGCATTTTTAAGAACACTACTGAGGATTGTACTCTATGGGAAAACTGTGTCTTAAGAAATTACTTAGTAAAAATGAGTCTCTGTGTTTGAAGAGAAAAACTAAGTACCTTTAGGAGGTCTATCAACCTCAGATTGTGAGAAGGAGAACAGCTCACACCATTCTCGAGATCTGCTCTTTCTGTGTGTTCCTGCTGCTGGCACAGCAGAGCTTTGACACCCACATCTGTGAGGGAGAAGCATCCTCGGCAAACAGGTGAGACTGGCTCACCGTGCTCTTCTAAGGAGAGGAGTGCCCTCTATCGCACAGCCTAAGCAATGCTCACGCCCTAAATTCACTGTCAAGCAGCTTCTGCTGATGATTTATTGATTTACTTTCCTCTTGCATTCTTAATTGATACATTAGACAGTGAATAGCATTAGGTCTGACAACTTAGATCTCAGGTTTTATTTTCATCCAGGTCACGCTTTTTTTTTTCTCGTTGTTTTGAGTTAAGCAAATTTCAAACTCTTTTTTTAACTTGAAAACAGCCTGCTGTATCACTTAAATATAGGAGAACAGAACTTAAAGCAATTTACCCCTCAAGATGATCCCACCTTATTTATTGTGTCTATCACATACTCTTAACAGCCACCATACATGCAGAAAACAATAAACCTCTGCCTGAGCATAGGCCTTCTCTGAGCTTTATACCTTTCCCCAAAACCATTTAGTTATGGTGCCTATTAGAAATCAACTAATTAATAACAGACGTTAATAATGAGTAGTCACTAATACATTTTGAAGGGACATCTTTCTTAATTTGTTGTCTGTGGGGACCAGAGGAGCCTCAGCATGCACTTACAGAGTATCAGAATGACCCTGATTTGGGGTATTTTCAAAGTGCCTATTCTTTAGTATTTTAGAAATGGCTATGCACTTATATAAGACTTTAGACATGTATGGTTTATTTTTCCATGATCCTTTACTTGCCATCTAACCACGGAGGTTTTAAAACTAAGCTGCAGAACCTCATCTTAGGTCACCAGGGTCCTTTGCACAGCCTAGCCAGATGCTTCTCAGTGCTGCTGCAGTACAGATATTAAAACTGGTCATCTGTGCACTTTTATTGCTTCTTCCCTGAAGGGTCATGGAGCATTCTGCAGAAAAAAATACCTGAGTGGCTATTTAAAGAATGCAAATAGAAGATGTAAAAGACAAGAAGAAAAATGAGAGGTATTTTCTTAAAGAGCAAGAGGCACATACATGGCTGGTGTCTGTCTTGCCCTCGTGTGAAACTGGCATGATGTACCCAAGGATTGTGAGCTGATCAGCACAGTTCTCCAGCACAGCAGTAAGCAGCAGAGCTTCCAGCCGAGTGAGTTTTTCCATTTCTTTAGAGTCTGTGTTCTTGCTAAGAGGAACAAAGACAAGAGGTGCCCATGAGAAAAACAGCATGGTGTTAGTAACAGCAGTTTAAACTAAAGGTAGACCTGAAATAGCCTTGATTGCAGCCTTCTATATACTTCCCTAGCTTTGTTTATAGCTTTTCATACACTGTTTATAAGAGAAGCCGTGCTCTGCTAATGGCTGCATTCAGGGACAGAGGGAATGTTTAGTTTTCACAAAACAAAGTTCTGGTCCCTCCTGCAGCAGATCTGGGAGGGCAGGCTGAAAAAATGCAGGATGAGGTGGCCTCGTTTGGCTGCTCTACCTACAACTGCATTTGTGCCATCTGTAAAACCCTTGCATAAACACATTCTAGGCCTGCAGAATATAACAGTCGAATCTGTAAGCATACCATGTAAATCACTCATCATCTGTGTAACAAACTACAAGTGTCAGTTCCTCTTTCTTTTTAGACTCAGAATTAATGACAGAGATGCAAGTTCTGCTTTTGCATGAAGTCAGAAAATGTATTTTTCTAGCTAAGAGGCACTAATAAAATTCTTTTTAAAAAATCTTTTTAAGAAATCCACAATGTACATTCTGAGTTTAAATAACACAAGAATAATACATGCAGAGGGCTAATGCTAAAAATATGGTGGGGAAAAAAAAAAGATTTATTGTGAGAGCTCTGACAGATGATGACGACAGCATTCTTGAAAGACAAAATAACACAGCTCTCATAGGAAAAAGTGACTTATTTGGAAACAATGGAGGATGCAATCGCTGCTCCTCTATTTCACAAATAACTTCTGTCCAGGAGAGAATTAATTCAAGATATTAATGTCTGTTAGGACAACTCACAGCTGGAATGCTTCTCGAAAGCCTGCTGGTTTGCACCTCCCATATATCTCCTGTTATAGCCGTGGACTCAGTCAGCAGATGCCAGTGCCAAAGCAGCTCGCCCTGCCCGGGCTTAGCTGACTTGGAAGTGAGAAAAAAAACGCTGTCTGGGGCACTTAGGAACATGACAAGCAGTGAGTGAGGCCTCACACTCTCGATCCTGCCACTGGCATTGACCTTACTGATGGTGCTTTGCTGAACTCCTTCATTAAGCTCTATTAATAAAAAAGAGGTATATATGAGGGACTCCGCTTCCCCCAAGAGCTTGGGCTGACATTCTTTCCCTGCTGATTTAAGGGGAAAGAAAAACAGATGAAGAAATATGTTTGAAAACAACCACAGAAGAGGCGTGGCCTGCTGTCCCTTTGGGGACTGCAGCTCCCCTGCTGTGTGAGATTCCTGGACACACACTTCTCCCGTCCTGCTGCCTGCTAAACTCCAAAGGCTCCACAGGCAGCATTTTGTGGCAGCGTTCCTCTCACTTACTCAAGGCTATTCCGACCAATTCCAGCGAGCGAATCCAAAGCTGAGGATGTCGCATCTCTTCCAGTTTCACAAATGTAGTGGCAAAGAGAGATTCTGAACTGCCACAGAGGCAGCAGCTGGGCCGCGAACCGGAGCTATCATCTTCCCTTTTACCGAAAAACAGGCCAACATTTGGCGCCTTACAAAACCCTGCCTCCCCCTTCTGTTAGAACAAAGCTTTAGGGAGCGTTTATTGATCGGCTGTGACATCGCTGCTGCTGTGACAGGCAGTTATTCTCTTTGGAGAATATTCTCCTGGCCCTGCCGGGCCTGCCCGTGCCTTACCCCAGCCGCAGCGCCGCCCCGCCGCCCCTCACACCGCCGCGGCGCTCACCGCGACCCCGTCTCCATGGCGACCGCGGCGCCCGGGGGCCTCGCGGGGCTGCCCCGGTGGGTGCCTGAACGGAACTGGTGCCCCGCCCGGAGCAGGAAAGGGACGTGAGGACAGAGCGAGGGACGGCGAAGGACGGCGCGTTAGGGGCGCGCACACCGCCGGGCCGGGTCGTACTTTGCGCGCTCAGGCGCTGCCGCGGGCAGCCCGCAGCCGGGGTCCTTGGAGGCGCACATCCCGGCGGGCAGCGCGCCGCATCGTCCTTTCGCCGCCATCTTGGCTGGGCGCCGTGGGGGTGAGTGGGGCTGCGGCGGAGGCGCGGGGTGCTGCTGGGGGGGTTGCGGCGGCAATGGGCCTCCCGGCGGCGGCGCGGCAACCGGGGCGTTGCGGTTCGCGGTGTGCCGTTCGGGGAGCGGGCGGGATGGCGCCGATGTACGGCGGATGGTCGCGGCCCCGTAGCTGGAGGGAAGCGGGGATGCCGGCAGCGCCCCGCGCTGCGAGGAGGCTGAGCCGCACCGCGGGAGCCGGCGGTACGTCAGGGCTCGGCGCCGGGCTGCGGGCGGCCCGCGGGTGCGGCGGAGCTGCGGGTCGGGGCGGTCACGGTTCTGTGTGTCGTTTGTAGGCCTGCTGGGACTGGGCTGCAGGAGGACGCCATGAGCGGGAGGTGAGTGCCTGCCGTGCGCCTTGGCTCAACTGCAGCGCTGCGCTGCGGGCGGTGATCTAATGGCTGTGGCTGCTCTCCTTTCCCAGCACAGCTTTGCCCGCTGCGCCCACTGGGTACTCTGTGTATCTGGTACATCGCTACGTTTGTGTTCCTCTCTTTGAAACCCCTGACTTCAACCGGCTGTAGCAGTCTGTCCCTGAAGGGAGCTTATAAGTAGGAGCGGGGACTGACTTTTAAAGTGGCCTAATAGCAATAGGACAAGGGGAGAAGTTCTAAACTGAAGGAGGGGAGATTTCTGTTAGATTTTAGTAGGAAATTCTTTACTCAGAAAGCAGTGAGGCCTTGGCAGTGCTGCCCAGAGCTGTGGGTGCCCCATCCCTGCAGGTGCCCAAGGTTGGATGGGCCCTGGGCAGCCTGAGCTGATGGGGACAGCCAGCCCATGGCATGGGGTGGGCTGAGTGGGCTTTGGGGTCTCTTCCAACAAAAGCTGAATGTTTTGAACTGAGTTAATTTGTATGTTTCCCATGTCTTTAGGTTGTGGTGCAAGGCCACTTTTGCTGGCTACAAACGTGGCCTCCGAAACCAGCGGGAGCACACTGCCCTGCTGAAAATTGAAGGTGTTTATGCCCGCCAGGAGACAGAGTTCTACTTAGGCAAGAGATGTGCCTACGTATACAAAGCTAAAAAGTAAGTCACCTTTTACATCAGCTTTTGCAAATGCCCAGATGTGAGTAGACAATTTATGTGTCTTTTGATAGAATGAAGAAAAGAATTAAGATCAACTTACCAATAAAATGCAGTATCGCACAGAACAACTTCCTTGGCTTGTCTTAAAGTTCTTTGCTAGCTTTGAATTGGGTGGTGTATTTGTCCTTCATTCAGATCAAGAAATTAATGTGAAGTGTAATTTGTAACAGTGAATGATTACGTTGAAGGAGCAAATGAGATGAGAAAGAAACTTTGCTTGAGACTGGTGAAAACTGAAGGCAGGTTGATAAAGCAAATTGAAGCAAGATGAATTTGAGATGAGCACTGAGTTTTTGGGATCCTTAGTGGCAGAATATTTTGCCAGGCAAAAAGGAGCTTGTATATCAGCTCTTGTGTGTTTGTCACCGCTTCTGCTGTGCTGGCAATAGTGGAGGCATTAAAAATAGTTGTTTGTTGCCTTCTACTTAATTTTTCTTTGAGAGTAGTTGTTAAGAGTCAGATATGGGAGTGAAATTGCCTTAAATAAAATTGATCAGGCTGTTAGCATCACCACGATCATTTCAAAGGTGGCACGCGGTTTCTTGTAAGGTAGCTGCTGCCTGTTTTGATGCCTTAGGCCCTTTGTGCCTGTGGTGTGTCTGAAGAAATCTTACAGATAAAGTAGTGCATTTCCTTTGGAATGAAACTTGAGTAAGTTTTATGTGTTTCTGTTTCCTCAGCAACACCGTAACCCCCGGCGGCAAACCCAACAGGACACGGGTGATCTGGGGGAAGGTAACCCGCGCCCATGGGAACAGCGGCATGGTTCGTGCCAAGTTCCGCTCCAACCTCCCTGCCAAGGCCATTGGACACAGGATCCGAGTGGTGAGTAGCTTTAGGAAAGAGGGGTTCCTCGTCAGCTTTTGTGGTGCGTTTTAATCTCATCTTGCATGTATACTTTTTGTACGCCCCAGTTCCTACCTACTGGCAAGGGAGCTGTGGCATCAACTTTTCCTCTTGCTTCCCAGGTGATTGCATGAGCTGCATGGCAAAGTCCTGAAAGTAGTCATGGGAAGACTCTTTGAGCAGGAGGGCTGACTACTGGGTGGGAACTTGTATGCCATCAGAGCGCTGCTTCAAATCACTAAGCTGCTTGTTACGCTTTCTGTCCCTTTTCTGCATAAATGGGAGTCACTGTTAAAGGAGTTGAAGAGATTCATGATTCAAATTATAACTGCAAAACTTGTACAGTCCAATAACAGGAATTCTAATGTGATTCTGTTCTTGTGTTTTTCAGATGCTGTATCCATCCAGGATCTAAATTTTTATTGGGAATAAAATACAGAATCTGTTCCATTTTTGTACGTTCCTGTTTTTAATCCCCTCCACCTATATTGAGAGATTTTATTCTTCAGTGGCATTCCACAACACATGGCACAGTGATGTGGTAGTGACTGAAGTGGCTCCTAAGCTGGAGATTTGACTCATACTTGTTAAAGGCATCTATTGAGCAGGTTATCTTTGAAAAGGCAAATAACTGACAGCCTTTATCATGACCTCATTGCCTCCAACGCAGAATCTGAATGTTTACAACCTTTGTAAACTGTTCACCCAGGGTTTCTGTAGAAAATGAGAAATATTTCCTTGCCTCCTCAATAAAGGGAAGCTTATATTGGTGTTTCTCTTGAAACATCACTTGGGAATGACTGCTGTTGGGACAGCTGTCTGACATTGTTGTCATGTATTTTGTCTGTGTGTGTGTTAATATGTTAATACTTGCTAGTTTTCTTGCCAGCCCTACCACAATATCATTGGGATGGGAAGATTTCATACACTGAGATGCTATTACTTTAATGAACTCCTTGAGGTTTGTTGAACAAAAAGACAGTGAAAGTGGATTTAAAGATTCTTAAAGTGCAAGTTTCTTAGTGTATAAAAAATACCATATGACTTTAAGGGAAGTTTCAGACAGCTGCAGGTTGGCATGGCTGCTGCTGATGTCATAGTCTTAGTTCACTCCCAAAAGGAGTCATCAGTACCCTGAGTGGGTGGTCACTGCTGAGGCAGGTAAGTGGTTGCCCTCACCTTCACTCGGGTACACTGATGTATTTCATTCCTTTCCCGTGTGAGATCCTGCCTGGGCTGCATGCTGCTGGGTGTGCCTGAGCTGGGCCTTTGTTCTCCTATGTTCCTGCAGTTGTCTCCTGTGGTGGGCTGGTGTTTCATTTAGGACTGATCCTCTTTCTTCTGAAGGAGGTGAAACAGCTGTGTCCTGACTTAGTTAGAATACATTATTGGATAAATTACCTTTTTTAGGTGAAATTCAGTAATGGTTTGGACCTGGCTATTGACACTGGTGTACAAATTATTTCCTAGCTAAAACAACTGAATTTGTGTCCTTCAACATCGAGAGGGCACTTAAGAGTGAAAAGCTGCAGCATTTACATGGATAAGCAGTGGGCAGCTTGCAGGGTACTTGGGTCAAGTAGGGCTTTATTTTTACAAGCACCAAGGAGTTGTACATGTGAGATTCAAAGAAGTGTGAGGTGGAGCACACATAACTATTTCCTATAGCATTTGATCCTGACCAAATTAGTGTGTTTGCACACAACAGCTGCTGAAAGAAGCAGGTGTAAGCCTGTTGGAAGGCCTCTACCGCAGGTACCTTTGCTACAGCTCCTGAGTGAAAACCCCTTTCACTCCTTTCCTCAGCAGTGCAGCGAAAAATAATTGCATAGGAAGAAGCTATGGAATCAGAGGAGACCGCCACCAGCTCCCTTACAGACCAAACCAGCTGGGAGTTCCTTAACCTACTGAACATGCTGGGGATGAACGGGGAGCTGCTGGTGATGGAGATGAAGGACGTCCATGTGAGAGCCCCCTCAGTGCTGATGGATTTTGCTCAGGACCTGTTCAGTGCAGGTGATGGGAGGACTGAACTACAGCAGATGGAGGAAAAAGAGGAGGAGAAAGAGGTTCAACCGCACCTGGTTTTTATGGTTTGGCAAGCCACCACTTTGAAGCAGCTCATGCAGTGGGATTATCTGGATGAGACCCTCTTTAACATAAGGAACCTGTTCCCATGTGTGCCAGCTGCGCTGGTGCTGGTGGTGATCCATTCAGGCCCCCAGGAGGAGCTGTCTCGAGCAGTGGAAGCACTCAGGAGGATGCAGTGTCTGTTGGATGGTGCTTTCCAGCACCTGGTGGTGGAGGCAGCGGTCTACAAGGCAGGCCAGCCCGAAAGCATCATGGAGGTCAAGAGAGCTGCATGTAGAGCACTAAGAGAAGTCTTTAATTACCAAGAAGGTATTCTGGGACATAGCTAAACGGGGGCAAGGGGCAAAGGGCAAAGAGACAGGCTTTCTGGGAACAGAACCACAAGCTTGGGTAGGAGTGTGGGTGGTCTGAGAAGCATGAAGGGCCAACATAGGGTTGGAAAAGACCTCTAAGATCATCTAATCCAACCATCCTCCTACTACCAATATTACCCATTAATCACATTCCTCAGTGCCTCATCTCCATGGCTCTTGAACACTTCCAGGGATGGTGACCACCATCTCCTTGAGCAGCCTGTGCCAGTGCACCACTGCTCTTTCAGAGTTTTTCCTGATATCTGACCTGTGTGATGTTTAGTGGTACTCAGTAACCGGGTTCAGATGCAGGAGGGAAGATAAGCTGGAATTTAAAATGAGGGATTGAGTCCTGGACTAGGAATGGAAGATGCGAGTCAGAGCCCATGTACTATTAACTTCCAAGTGTGACTGTGGTGGCTCTCACTGCCCCAAAACACCTGGCTGTGGAGATGCTGCTCAGTGTGAGAACTTCCATCCCAACTCCATCACTGGGGCTTCCCATGACTGTTAATAGCTGTACAGTACCACCAACCTTGCATTCTTCTCAGTGAGAAATAGTAATTCTTTTGGGTGAGCTGTAGGGAGGAGCTGTCACCAGCATGGTTCCTGCTGTGCTCCTATCCTGTGTTTCCTCTCCTAGATGTCAGCTCACCAAATCCCAGTTCTGCTTGTCCGGGTGAAATCAGCCCCCAGCAGTGGATTGCTGTCCTCAGCCTGAGCATGTGCCACGTGAGGTATCACAGATGACTTGCAAACGAATTCCTGGAGACAGCAGGATTTGCAGGTTGGGTTTCACGCTGTTCACCCAGATGTTTCTCTGTAGAATATTTCCCTCGTGATGCTTTGCTTGTCTGCCAGTCCTGCACAAGAGTGGTGCAGTGCATGATATCTCAGCTGCCAGAAGGGGACACTGCTCCCTCAGCTTGATGCCAGCCTTGCTCCAAAGCCCTAAGGTCTTTTCTGCATCAACTGGGCAGGCAATCTACCCTAGCAGAAATCACAGAATTTCTGCTTTCTTGCTTTGCTGCACAGTTCCCAGCAGCACAAAGGTCCTGAGATTCCCCTGGGTTTTCTGCAGCCAGATGGTGGGTGAGCAAAGTTTGCTCCTGGCTCTGAGCAGCCTGGAGCTCAGAGCCAGGAGCAAACTGGCCAAAAGGCTGCAAACAAGATAAAGGTCCCTCTCCTGCCATGGTGCTGTTTGCCATCAGTGCGTTGGTCTTTCCCAAGCTACTCCTGCATGCCAGAATAGTTGAAGGGTCAAGGACAAGCTGTCTGAGCGGATGGATGTGTGCAGACATTCCCACCTGCCCTGCTGGAAGGGCTGGGGATGGGATCACACCAGAGTCCACCAGGAATAGGGGGTTCTTGGGTGGGGGGCACTGTGGGAGCAGTGGATGGTTTTGGTCTCTATCAGCAGTGAGCCCTATAAAAGCTGAGCTCACTTCTCACCCTCTCTGGGCAGAACAAGGCACTGTGGTTTTTTTTTTTTTTTCTGCTAAGGCTTCATAAGGATAACCTTTATTTACTTTATTTTTTTTTTTTTTTCAGATCTTGTATCCACCTAAAATCTGTTACGGAGAGAATTATTAAAACCTTGTCTTTATTTGATATCTCTGTGTGCACCTCTGGGCTGTAAAGCGCCAAGCACCGGGTGCCATACAAACTCATGCAGAGCAGGGGGGATTTGCAGATGTCCCTGAGAGAAAGGATCCTCAAGGGGATATTTTGAGTGCGGGTTCTTTCTATGGTGATGTGGTGCATCATGCCTACGTGCCAGGACAAAGTGCGAGCACACCTTGGGGCAGTTGTGCCATGTGCCAGGAAGGCACCCTGCCAGCTGCACAACTGCAGGCTCTGTCTGACATCTCTCGCAGGTTCCGTGGCTTTCCATTGCGGTAAGTGAAGGTGGGCTTGGAGAACCAAGTTTGAGGAGCTGCGCTGAGATGCTGAGGACTGTCAAAAATTGGTACAAAAGTCCTTTCTCATGTCCTCTTTCTTTAGATGAGAGGTAGATCGTGGTGAATCATCTCCTAAGGTGCCCAATCCAATGGGTTTTTGGTCTTGCTCAGAGCTCACAGCACTGTGTCTCTGTACTAAGCACCCTCTCTTCCTCTTTTTGCAGTCCAAAATGAACAGATCTTTGCTCTTAGCAGGCACGGGCACATGCAAGAAATAAAATTGCCCTCATTTAGAGCAAGCTGTTGATTTGCTGCCAGCACATCCATTGGGTTGCAGTGTGAAGGCAAAGGGTGGAGCAGCAGGACCTGTATGTACACCCAGGTCTGCATTCAGGTGCCCGCTGCACTCCAACATCACTCTGTGGGCGCTGCACACGCTGCTGAGCTGCCTCTGCCTTGCTGAGCTGTATCTCTTTAAGCAACACAGAGGAAGATAAAAGTGTGTTTGCTGTTAGGTCCCTCCTCTGTTAATGAGTAAGGAAATGTAAACGAGGTTGTTTGGGTATTGTGGGTGACGTTCACCTCTCCAAGCAGCCCTTGCTGGCAGCAGTACATGTGTACCCAAAATTAACAATAAAATTGCAGTGGCCGTGAAGAACAGCTCCATCCATTCCCAAATATTAGTTTTTGGATGTGCTTATCAGCAGCTTAAACATCAGAAAAATGGAAAGCAGTGCTTGTTCTGGGCATGGGATGCAGGAAAGCCCCCTCACTGAGCAGGATTCTTGTAAATGCAAAATCTGGCTGACATTAAGGCTGCAGCTGGCTGTTGGGTGGTGTCAGGCTGGAGCCCTGGTGTGCTGACAGCTGCTCTTAGGGTTAATGCTGTACAGGAGCATGGGCTCCTCTGCCAACAGACCCTGATCTTTGGAAGAGGACCCTAATCTTGTTTATCTCCCCTGAGTTGATTACCAGCACTAGTCAATGAGTAAGGTCCTTTTATTAAGAGCCAGAGAGGCTGTCTGAAACCCTCACCCTGACTGTCTGACCCCACAGTGCTGGTGTGGGGATGTGTTTGCTGAGCCTGTTGTAACTGGGACACACATTCTCCTGGCTTAAAGCTGCTGGCACACAGTGACCTTCCCAGGCTGCCCTTCCTGATATCCACAGTCAGGCTGGTTGGGGCTCTTAGCACCTGATGGAGCTGTAGGTGTCCCTGTTCATTGCAGGGAGTTGGACCAGATGGCCTTTAAGGGGCCCTTCCAACTCCAATACATCTATGCTGTCCCCTAGAGGATGTCCGCAAGAGCAGTGCTGCTGTCAGCACCTTTCAGCTGTTCACATCCTCCCGCAACAAGACATTAAATGTTTGGGAATCTCGTACGTAGCAGAGTAAACATTTACCATTGCTGCTGGGGCTTCCCGCTTCACCTGACAGCCGTGCCACGGCCGGGCAAAGCACGTGTCCACTGGTACCGGAACCGGGAGATGCTTTGGGCTCGGGGCGGGTACCGGGGCTGGTGGAGGCGGTGCCGGGGGCGGTGCGGAGCTCCGCTCAGGGGACGCGGCGGCGGCGGCGGCAGCGGGGGATGGAGGCGGCGGAGCTGCGGGAGCTGCGGGCGTTGGTGGAGCGGGCGGGCGGGCGGCGGGCGGTGCTGCTGGTGGCCGAGGTGGTGACGGATGGCGCTCCGGCGGCGGCCACGTTGGCGTCGTTCGCCCGCGAGCTGCTGGGCGACGAGGTTCCTCCGGAGCAGGGGGTGGAGCCGGGATGCCGGTCCCGGTCCCGATGCCGGCGGCGGGCGCTGGAGGCCAGGCTGCTGCTGGTGCTGTGCCGCGGAGGAACGGCGCGGGGCCGCGGGAGCCGTGCGCGGCTGCGGGAGGTGGTGCGGGACGTGCGGGGCCGTTTGCCTCGGGGGCCGCCGCCCGCCGTCGTCGGCGTTCTTCTGCCCGGTGGGGACGGGGAGGACGCGGCGGTGCTGGACGCGACGCTGCGGCGGTACTTCCCGGCGGCGGACACCGTGCAGGCGGCGCGTTACAACCCCGGGAGTCCCGCAGCGCTGCGGGAGTGCCGCACCGCCGCCTGCCGAGCTCTGCGGGCCGCCCTGCAGCACCCCGCAGGTACCGAGGGTTTGGGGGAATCGGACGGGGGAGGGATGGGGGTGGCACGAATCGGGCACACGTTGATCTCCCTGATCGGGCCCGCTGCTCCCGGCAGGTGCTGCCCCATCCCGGTGGGATCTGTCCCGTCCCAGTGGGATTTTTCCCACGGAAAAGTGCCCCATCTCAGTGGATCCAGCCTTTCCCTACGGGATTTTTATCCTCCCGGGGAGAAGTGCCTTGTCTCGGTGGGATCTGGTTTCTTACAGTGGGATTTGACCTGTTTTCCAGTGGGATCATTCCTTCTTCTGTAAGATCTGCCTCACTTGTGCAGGATTTGCACTAAGCCAGGGAGATCTGCCTCTCCCCAGGGAGTTCCTGCTGTCCCCAGTGGGATCCGTTTCATGCAGTGGGATCTGAGCCTTCCCAACAGGCTCTGCCCCTTCCCCGTGGGGTTCCTCCTGGGGAGGATGGGCCATGGGTTGGGAAGCAGGGATGTGGCAGGCAACAGCTGTGGCGTGGTGCTTAGGATGCACATTCAGGTGCTGATGGATGGGCATTCTGGGGCTTGGGGTGCAGCCCTGGCCGCAGAGAGCAGGCAGGTTCTGCAGGAGGAAGATGCTGGCATTGGCTTCACACAAGTCAGAACAATAACAAGTGAGCACTTGGTTCTAAAACCACATGCGTCTGTTGGCGGCCAGGTGAGCAGCATGAGGATGGCAGGGTGAGAGCCTGAGGAACAGCATTTGATGCACAGAGAAGGGTGAGTGGTGTTTACCTGCAAGCACAGGACGCAGCCCCAAGAATCAGGTTCTTTTTCCCATTGGCTCAGTCCGGAATCTTGGATCTGAGCATTCAAGGGCTTTGAGACCACCAGAACCCATTGCATTTTCCTGCAAGGGTGTGAGGCTGCATTCTGTCCACCCTTTGTGCCAATGCATGCATGGTCTTCTTTCCATTTTCCCTCCCATAACCTTCTGCTTTCCTCACATACTTCCTGCTGCAAGAATTTCTTCTGGCAGTGTCCCAGAGCATCTCCCAGTTCTGGGCACAGCAGCTGCAGGAGCAGGGAAGCACCCCTGAGTGCACAACCTTTTCCTGCCTTTGTGATTTGCTGGCATTTGCCTCAGGCAAATCTTTGGGATTATCTATGGATTTATCTTTCACTGGTACGGATGTGGAGTGCAGTGGAGAAAGAGGAGCAGAAAGCCAGAGCAGTGTTGTACAGGCAGCCCACTGCCTTTACAAGTACTGTGGGTAGGAGGACTCAGCATTGCTCACCAGGACTCTGCTGGTGCTCTGAGTCATAGAAGCATCCCATGAGCTGTATTTGTAATGAGGATGCTCCTCAGCTGCAGGGTTCAGCCTGATGCAAGATCAGCTTCTTTCCATGCCCCTGTGAGCCGTGTGCTCCAAAATGCCTATGTGCCCCTCCTGTGCCCATGTGGGAGCTGGGGAAGTGGCAATGCCAACCCATAGGACAGCATGAACTTCTCTGGAGTCTGGGCTCCTTCATCCCATGGCTCTTCCCAAGGAGAATAAGATTTTTGGTGGAATGTGCAGGAGGAATGCGTGCAAGATGGGCCTGGGGCTTTGGAGCAGCATGCAAAGCAGGTTCAAGGAATGTTACCAAAAAACAACCCTTAGCTGGAGCTAAGCTTGTCATGTTTCCCTTCTGGCCTTTGCAAAGGGTTTGTGCTGGGCTGCTCCCCGCTGTCTCCCCAAGGACTGTGATCAGGGGATGTGTTGGTGGCTGGAAGTCTGGGGCTGTCAGACAACAGGAAACGCTGCTACTGTGAGCCCTTTGGTGTTGCAATAAGACGAAGGACGCTGAAGTGGTTTATCATTTGCCACTGGAGATAAGATCTCCTAGGAGGTGAAAGGCCAAGTGGCATTTAGATGGGGATGCTGAGCCATTGGAGACTATAAAATAAGCTGTTTTGCTATAGTAGTGTGAAAGTTTGCAATAACTTACTGCTTCCTCTGTTGTCCTCTAGATGAATTTCCAGGGCAACGGGGAGCTTTCATGCCACTATGAGGGTTTCCAGGAGCTGTTCCATGCTTTCCCAGGGTGGTGGGTTTAGCTGTTGGAGTTGGGCTGGTGGGAGCTGGGAGAGCAGTGCCTCTGATGTTCTGAATGCTTCTGTGCTTTACCCAGAGGAGGGAAAAGAGAGAGAGAGGTGGAGGCTGCCTGCCTTCCTGCAGTGCATCTCTTGGAGCCGGAGGAGCCAGAGAAAAGGCCACGTGTCAAAAGCTGCCAACAATGTTCATGAAGGTATGCCCATCTCCCTTGCACACATGCTGATTGCTGGAGGCTCCTCACCGACTCCTTGGCAGTCCATATGCCCACACCTCTTGTTGGTGGCCTCCTGACACTGTTTCCAGCTCCAGAAACCTCTTCTTGGCCCAGCTTTGGCCAGAACCCGAAGACAGACAGTGTTCACCTAAATAAAAGCATGCTGGGCCCAGTGCCTGGGAGCATTGCTGGGCAGTGACACAACCGTGCATCCACACAGTGAGTTGGAAGCATCACCCCAATCCTACATGCTGTGTTCTGCTGGAAGCGCAAACCCAAACCCAAGAGTGGGAGGGCAGTCAGCTTCAGGCTCCAATTCAAAGCAGGCAGTGAAGTGTCAGACCTGTGCAACTCATTTGGAGGCTGCTGAGTCTGCAGGACTCTGTGGGCCACTGCTCTTTTGCTGCATGTTAAGGAGATGTTGAGTTTGTAAAGCAAAATGAGAATCTATTACAAAAAAAAAAATTACCTGTGCTTAGGTGGTATCTACCATTCACTTCATTTCCATGCTTTATGTCTGTAGTACTTTAAGTTTGCATGAGGAAGGGTTTCCCACTCCGCTGTCCCCTGAGCTCTCTCTGCTCTTTGCAGACAACCTGCAGGACTCCCAAGAGGTGGCTCTGACCAGCCTTTCTCCCAATGGTAACTACGAAGATGCTGCTGGAGGTGTGGGCACATAAAGCTGTGGGTGCTTGATGTGATCCCTGTCCCGGTCCTGCCTGGCTGGTGTGGAGCAGTGGAAGGAGGAGCTGTGCCCACTCACCCTCAGAGAGCCCACAGATTTCACCAAGGTCTTCTGTGGCTGCCAACAGCCTCTGAGCTCCATGACAAAGCCATCCCCTGCCCATGGGGCTGTACTGGTGGACACTGGGCTTTGGAGGAGCCCTTTGGGAGTGAATCCTCCATCCTGGGCAAGGTGACGTGGGGACTTTAGCTTCCATCTGCCCAAACAAAGGGAAACGAACAAAGCTCCCCACTGAGATTGCTAGAGATGGCCTCCCAGGCAAACAGATTCTGCTGCCTTATTTTTCTGTTTTATTCTTTATCCTGAAGCTGCTGACCTCTCTCTGATCTGGGGAAAAAAAAAAAGAAAAAGACAAATAATGCAGTGGCACGGAGATTGCAATGGGACTGAGTATGAAGTCTTGTATCTACCAGCCATCTGAAAAGCTTGGAAACATGTGAATAACATGAAGAAATACAGCTCTGGACAGCAAGTATAACACAAAAGATACTGATATTCCTGGCAGCTATAGCAGAGGGTGATTCTGAGAGCAGGATGTGTCCATCTGTCCCACTGTGGTGCTTGCAGACCGACTGACACGCTGCCCATGCTGGAGGGAGGCAGACAGGACTGCGGTGTGACGGTGTGAGATGGGGTATGGCACAGGTCTGTGGTGGCAGCTCCTGGGTGTGCCCGCTGCATTCCCTTCCAGGCGATGGGGCTGCTTCATGAATTGATAGAAATGTTTAAACATCACCTATTTAAGCAGTTCTGAAGGGCTGCCTGTGGCCCGTGGGGCAGCGAGGAATCATGAAGTCACAGAATGGCTTGGGTTGGGAGGGACCTCAAAGTTCCAACCCCCTGCAGGGTTGCTTTATGGGTGATATTATCTAGTGCTCAAATACCTCTTTAAACTTCTATTTTAATGCAACATACAGCAGGTCTCGATTTGTTTTTTGCACACACGGCTGGGTTTTGTCTGTGCCTGGCCATCCTGCTGGAGCTCCCCTCAGCTCAGGCAGAAGCTCCAGCCCATCCTGCAGCCCCACTCCACGCTGGGTGGCAGCAGTGCGTCCTACAATCATAGAACTGAGCTGGAAGGGTCCCTTAAAAGCCATCCGGCCCAACTCCCTGCGCTGAACAGGGACACCTACAGCTCCATCAGTGCTCAGAGCCCCGTCCAGCCTGACCTCTGTGCAGCCTGTGCCAGTGCCTTACTGTGAAAAACCAACGTCTAGCAGTGCTGCTCTGCCCTTTGGGAGCAGGAGTGCTAACGCAGTGGGCTCTGCGTTAGCCCAGCACTCTGACCTCCATCCTCTTTCCCCACGCCGAAGCGCCGCGCTGAGTTCTGCACAGCTCAGCGATCTGCTAATTGAAGGGCACTGTTATTCCAAGCGCTGGCCGTAATCAATAAACACGCACGATTTCTCAACTGGAACTTGCTTCTTTATTTATTTATTTCTTATTTTATTTTTCAGTTTGCCATAGGGTTGTCCTTAAAATAAGGCGATGCGTGGTTTAATTGAGCTAAACGCGATGCGGGGTAACGGCGATGTCACCGCACGCCTTCAACGTGCACAGAGCACAGAGCACAGAGCACAGAGCCCGCCGCTGCGGCCGGGCGGGAAGGGCTGCCCAACTCCCGCCTGATTCCCTACGGCTTTTCGAGCAGGCGATCGCCGCGGCCACCTTTGCCCGGCAGCTGCGAGGCCCTGCCGGAAGGGGGCCTCGGCGGCACTTCCGGGCCGGGTGGCGGCGGAGCGGTAGAGGCGCGGAGCGGATTCCGGCGGCGGCAGCAGCGGTGCGGCTGAGCCGGAGCGCAGCGCAGCGGAGCGGGCGCCACCTTCCTCCGCGGGCCGGGCGGGCGGCACCATGATCACCTCGGCCGGTGAGGGAGCGGCTCGCGAACCGTGCTGTCCGCCGGGGTTTCGCTGAGTCAGGGCCGTGACTGGGCACCGCCACAGGCCGCGGGGCCGCCGGGTTGCGGTGAAATGGGCCTTCACCTCTCCAGCCGGGTTACCCGTGGCCGCCGTCTCAGCGCGGCTCGGAGGCCACGACCGGCGATTTAAGGCTGAGCTGTCGGAGGCCTCTCGCTGTTCGCCTGTAGAATCGGGGCCGGCGCTCCACTGGGGACGGGCGGGAGGCAGGGGCTGCGTGAGGAATGAGATGTCGAACGCTGCTTCTGGACCTGCAGAGCGCTTTTATGGTTTAAGAAAATAGGAGGAGTATTTCTGAAAGTATTCAGGGCAGAACTTGGAATGTGAGCGGCTGTGGTTTTGGGAGGGAAACGTCACAGAGCGTGGCAGTCTGCAGGCAGTGCTCTTTTGTCGACTCTTGGTTTTATGTTTGAAGCCTTGCTGTAGTTGAGAAGAAGCAGGAATTCGTTTTGAAGGAGTTTTAAAAGAGTAGAAATAGTTTGTTAAAGATCAGTGAGATTGCCTTTACCTGGAGGTGTGGGAACATGTAGGTAAAAACAAACTGCTTATTGGAGGCAGAGTTGCTGTAACAGCATGGAGCCCTGTGCTGCTACCAACTGCAGCTTCAGGGCCCTTCAGTGCTCCTCCAGTTGCTGCTGACAGATACACGTACAACTCCTAGTCCAAAATCTCTGACAGTAGAAATTCCATGTTTTACAGGCAAAGTGAGGAACTTCCTTTCTGTCAGAAAACTTTTCTTATCATCACATCTCAGTCATTAGAGCTCCAAATGTACCTTGGTCCTATTGCTGTTCTTCGTATTCAACACAGAGATCAGATCAGTTGTCTTCTTGATTTTTGGCTGACAGCTGCCTTATCTCAGCAGGCTGACCAGCTCCAGGCCTCCAGTCAGCCTTTCTTGGTCGTGGTTCCTAAGAACTTTTGTCGTTGCTCAGCTCTGTACACCCCAGCATGCTCCTGTAGCAGGGTGCCTAGCAGCGGGCACTGGTTGTGTGTGGGCATGTCTGTGCTAAGCAGAGGGAAGGATTGTGCCTCCTGCCTCTGCCAGGAAACACTCTGCCACACCTCAGTGTGAAGTTTGGGTTCTGTGCCTCCTGGTGCAGCCGTATGATATTGCTGGTACTGTTTCATCTGAGTGTGCTGTGCCACTGTGATTCCTTTCTATGTCACATGTTTTTGATTTGATTTTTGCTCTCCCTTTGGCACGTTACGCTCCCCTTGGATTCTTCCCTTCCTTCTCACAGTTTGTCAAAACCTTTTGAAAGCCTATTTCTGCCTGTCAGCAGGTTTGCTGGCCTTTCTAGTTTGGTGTCTCCTGTAGGTTTAAAAAAGTTATCAATGTATGTGACGTGGAAGATCAACAACAGCTTTCTTTTCTGTCTTTTATTTTTGAACTAAATGGCACATTCACATCTAAAGCAGTCCAAAACTGACTGTGGTCTTGTTTTGCAGCTGGAATTATCTCTCTTCTGGATGAAGAAGAGCCACAGCTCAAGGTAAGCTCAAGGTGCTGCTGATTACATTTGGCAAAAAAAAATGGCAAATGCTTTTGAGCTTAAAGTCAGAAATGCTTGGATCTCAGTAACTGTAATGCTTAGCCAGAAACAGGTGAGCTCCAGGTAATATCCAGCCTGAAAGCAAGGACTAAACATAACAGATGGCAAACTTCTTTGTTTTGAATATGGATCAAACTGGAGCTTTACTGAAGCCTCCGCTTTTCTAATCATAGTGGGGTTTTGTTGCTTAGATGTGTACCAGAGACTGCATTTTGACTATGTAAAATTCAAAACTGAAGAGTTTTTAGCGTAATTGCAGGCATGTGAAATAATAATCACACTTAGAGTTTGCTCTTGAAACTCTATTACTAAGTTACATTAGTAATAAGAGAAGATAATAGCAGCAGGAACTCTGCAGCCCTCAGAGTTCTGAATCCACAGGACAACACCAAACACCCGAAGTAATCATGTATTGGTGATGCTCTCTGATTGTTTGAGCACAATGACATCTCCTTTTAAGAAGGAGGGTTACATCTTGTGATGTAGGCAATCCCCGAATGTTTTGCTTCAAAACAGAC